TTTATCACTACGTCCATCTGGTAGAGTAATAGTACTAGGTTCATACCTAGGGCCTATGACCCACCCAGTTAACAGTACCAGACAAGGATTCTGTCTTCTCGAATGGACTTTAAATTCAATGAGAAAGTGGCTGGTTACTTGAATAACATTTCTGCCACTACTGCATCAGGCCAGCTGTTATAGCTAGGTAAGACTGTTGATGACTTTTCTTCCCTGGTAGTATGCTTTCTGTAGAGACAACTGGAATGAGGGATGCTCAGCTGACAAATTTCCTGCATTGGACTGGCCTGTAGTTATGTCTGTAAGGGCATTTGTTTTTCTTTCTTTTTTTTTTTTTTTTTTTTTTTTTTTTTTTTTTTGTAGCCCCAGCTGGCCTGGAGCTCACTATGTAGACCAGGCTGGCCTTGAACTCACAGAGATTTGCCTGCCTCTGCCTCCCAAGTGCTGGGATCAAAGTTGTGCAGCACCATGCCCAGCAAGGAATTTTCTTACTTGGTAATTGATGCAGAAGGGGTTCAGATTCAGTCATGAAGTGGTTGGTTGCCCACAGAATATTCATGCCACTGTTGCACCAGTTGGCATATCTTTGCAGGTAGTTCAGTATTGTGGTGCACAGGTGACCTTTGCCCCCCAACAGCAAGCATAGCACTTACTGGCACAGTGAATGCTAGCCCACATCAGGAAGCTTCCAGTTCAGTTCTGTGTCCTGGATCCAGAGTGTGTGAATACACCTTTTTAAATTTCTTTTTATGTGTATGAGTACATTGCCTGCATGTAAGTACACCTATGTTATGCAATGCACACAGATGCCAAAAGAGGGCATCACAGCCCCTAGAACTGGAGTTATGGATGGTTGTTAGTTGCCATGTGGGTGCTGGAAACCAAACCCAGGTCCTCTGCAAGAGCAGCCAGTGCTCGTAACCACAAAGCCATCTCTCCAACGCCAAGACGCCTCTTTTTATATTACCGAGATGAGGTAGACGCGCCTTTGCTTTCAAGTGTTCTAGATCTTTCACTGAATTGTCTGTTCATGTCCTTTTCTAATGTTAATTTACTAAAGCCTGCCTGGGAAGCAACTCCTCCCTTAGCTAAGTATGTGGGTGACTTAACTCTAGAAATAAAAATAGAAAGTGGCTAGGTGGCTAAGTGGTAAAGTGCTTGCCTAGCGTGTTCATCCCAGTACTACAAAGGATAAAAATAATTTGAGTCAAGGTTTCCCTGTGGCCCCAGCTGGCCTGGAACTCACTATGTAAACCAGGCTGGCCTCAATCTCACATAAATCTGCCCCGAGTTCCAGGATTAAGGTGTGGGCCACCATGCCTGGCTAATAAAAATATATTTAAAATAAATAAATGAAAATGACCTCTTTTGAGCTGGTTGGGATTTTCACTATGCAAATCTCAGCAATAGCTATAAAATAAAGTCTTAAATATTCATTTCCCTCTGGATTTTGGCAAATAACAGCGTACTTCAAGTTTACTGCCCATGAGTGCTCTTTCAACTCAAGACGCTTTAGGGAACTTTCAGATATGCTAAGGGATTTCATGTCCTTCTCTTAGCCTATAAGATAGCAATGACACACTGGTCTCCACAATACAGTGGATGACTGGACTTGATCCTCTGCATATAGCCAGCAACACAGTCAGCTCTAGGTTTCAGAATTATTCATCCTAACACATTTCCTCTGAGAAGAGGTTTACTTTGAGTCTCCTGTCACCAAATTAGATGGCTAATCATGATTAACTTCACATACCTGGGAAAAGGGAACCTCAACTAAGGAGTTTCCTCCATCAGACTGGCCTGTGGGCATGATTGTGGGGCATTTTCGATTGCTAATTGATGTAGGAAGGCCCACCCCACAGTGGGCAGTGCCATCCTTAGGCAGGTGGGCCTTGGGCTGCACAAGAAAGGGAGCTGAATGTGAGGCTGGGACAAGCCAGTAAGCAGGGTCCTCCACGGCTTCTCCCTCAAGCTCCTGCCTTGGCTTCCTGTAAGCCAGATGAGCCCTTTCCTCCCCACCATTGCCTTTGGTCATGGTGTTTGTTTTCTTCATTTTTATTTACTGCATGTGTATATGATGCATTTGTGGGAGTCCATGAGTGAGATGGGACACTTGTAGTCAGAGGACAGTTTTGTGGAGTTACTTCTCTTCTTCCACCTTTGTGTGGGGTCCAGGGATTGAATCTGGGTCCTTAGGTTTATGTGCTTTACCCACTGAGCCATCACAACAGAAGGCAAACTAGAACACCAACTCAAAACTCATCTTTCTTAAAGATTTTAAACCACGTGTGTGTGTGTGAGAGAGAGAGAGAGACTGTGTATGTGCACAAGTACTGACTGGATCCTACAGAAGCCAAAGAGGCATTGGATCACCTAGAGCTGGAAATACAGGTGGTTGTTAGCTGCCTGATGTGGGTGCTGGGTTAGAACTCAGGTCCTTTGAGAGGGCAGTGCACACTTTTAACCACTGAGCCATCTTTCCAGCCCCTACCCACCCCCCCACACACCCTTTTTGTTGTTTTGAGATTGGTCTCCTTGTAGCCCCAGCTGGCCTGGAACTCACTATGCAGACCAGGTTATCCTTGCTGTCCCAGAGATCTGTTGCTGCCTCCTGAGTGTTGGGATTAAATGTGTGTAGCACCATATCTGGCCAAAACTTGTATTTGGCAGCAATTAGCAGACTTCTCATTTTAAAAATATTTTATTATTTTATATGTATGAGTATGAGTGTATTACCTACATGTATGTTAAGGTCACCTGTGTTGTACAAGACCCACAGAGATCAGAAGAGGGCATCAGAGCCCGAGACTGGAATTATGGATGGTTGTTAGCCACCATGTGGGTGTTGGGAACCAAACCTGGGTCTCTGCAAGAGCAGTCAGTGTTCTTAACTACTGAGCCATCTCTCCAGCCTCCAGTTAAGCTTTAGTTATGAGTATGTCTGCATAGGTCTATGTGCATGTGAGTGAAATTGCCTGGAGAAGCCAGAAGAGGATGTCAGATCCCCTGGTGGTTGTAAGCTGCCAGATGTGGGTGCTAGGAACTGAACTTAGGTTCTCTGCAAGAGATGTACACTCCCTTAACCAGTGGGCCATCTCTGCACCTGATGCCCCTCCCCCAGCTTTTAAAACTTCAGACAAAAACATGCAATATCTGTCTCAAGTCTGATGCATTTCACTTAGCATAATGGTGCCCAGTTCTATCCATTTTCCTGCAAATAAAAATGTTTTTATGGCTAAATAAAACTCCATGGTGTATACATATTATATTTAATCTATTCATCTGCTGATGGCCACCTAGGCTAGTTCCATAACTTGGCTACTATGATTATTTCCTATATACTATATACTATATTCTATACATAGAACATCTAGTATTTTTTTCATCCCTTCCAGTTCAAAGGGTATTTGTAGAAATAGTTGCATCCTGTTTAGAACAATATTTGAGGGCCTTTGTTAACACAGTATTTTAAACTCCATAATATAAAAAAGCACTCGTGCTGGGCGTGGTGACGCACTCAGGAGGCAGAGGCAGGAGGATCTCTGTGAGTTCAAGGCCAGCCTGGTCTACATAGTGAATTCCAGGACAGCTGGGGCTACAGGGAGACCCTGTCTCAAAAAGACCGAAAAAAAAAAGCACTCATTAACACAGTATTTTAAACTCCATAATAAAAGCATTCAGGCAAAAACAAAAACAAATTATAATCCGTAACTCCTAACCTTTTCTTTCAAAGTTATCTTTTGAAAAGGTTTTTGCAAAGAAATGGGCTTTGACTGCTTAGGTGTTTGTAGAAATGAGACAGGCAATTTGCAAGTACTTGAAAAGGCATGATTACACAGAGCATTGTTCATTCTGATTTCTGAGTTATAAGCACCCTCTCTTCTGCCTGCATTTACAAGAGCACCCAGCCAGCTCCTGAGGGCTTCTGCTCCCCCTCTAGAAGACACTGCCTGCCCCATTGGGGCTTCTGTACACATCACAAGAAGGGGTTTGAGCAGGTAGTGTGCCTGAAACACAGCAGGCACCGCACAACACAAGTGCCTGCTCCAGCTCTACTCCAGGGAGTGACAGAACAGCAGCAGCCTTGTTCACCTGATGCTGCCCCATGAACCAGGTCCTAGTTTGGTTTCTGTTGTTGTAATAAAACATTGACCAAAATCAACCTGGGAAGGAAGAAAATGGCTCAGCAGGTAAAGGTGCATGCTACCAAGCCCGATGATCCACATGGTGGAAGGAGAGAACTGATTCCCACAAGTTGTCCTCTGACTTCCATATGCAAGTGTAGTGCACAAACAAAAATATACACGTGTATACATACATACATATACAAAATGTAAAAACAAAAAAAAATCATTTAATGATGACAGAGATTTAGAGCACAATTATAATAACCAACATTTAAAAGACAGCGCTAGGGTCTTAGCTCAGCTGGCAGAGTGCTTGTCCATATGCACGAGGCCTTGCACCGCATACACCAGGCATGGTGGCACACGCCTGTAATCCCAGAACTTGGAAGTGAGAGCAGGAGAATCAAAGGCTCAAAGTCATTCACAGGTACACAGCAAGTTCAAGGCCAGTCTGAATTGCTACCCTGTCTTTGGAGGAAAAAAAGAGAAAAGAGAAGAGAGAGAGGGGAGAGAAGGGAGAAAGGAGGGAGGCAGAGAGGGACAGAAGGAAAGGGAGGGAGGGAGGAGGCAAGGAAAAGAGAAGAGAGAGAGGGGAGAGAAGGGAGAAAGAAGGAGGGAGGCAGAGAGGGACAGAAGGAAAGGGAGGGAGGGAGGAGGCAAGACAGGGAGGAAGGACGAGAAAGAGAGAGAGAATAGTGACAGAAAAGTCTGTCTACAGGCAGTGTCACCAAAAAAATGATACTTTATGCTCCTCAACTACTAACAAAAAAATGGCAACATGGGGACACCCGGCCGGCATGCGTCTCCTGCTCCGAAGTCTCTTCTCTGCACAAGACTCAGAAGACACAGGCAGAATTATACAAACCAAACTTGTTACAAGTTGAAAAAGCAAAGTACGTTTTATTAAAATATACATCAATAACCCCTATTTTTCTTTATTTTGTCAGTATTGGAAGTTATATGAAAATTAAGTGAAAAATAATTGCTCTGATATAGGGAAATGAAGGCCAAATGTTGTCAAGAAAAGCCTACCCCAGCCCAGGTCAGCCACCTCCTCGGCTGCCACTGAGATGGCTGGAGATGTGCTGTCTGGAGTCACAGGGAAGCTCTAACACCTTAACTGCTCTGATTCTCCGAATGATAGCAAATGCTAAAGTTATGTATTAACTGCACAGAGGCCACTCAATGAAACAGGAACAAACACTGAGCTCAGGAACACTTTCAAGGAAGATGTGAGAAATACCCAATTCCTGCTTTAAAAAAACCAATGATATTACTTTATTCATACCAATTACATACAAAAAAATGTGCATCATATGCTGTTTTCAAAAAATTTCACGTTCTGTGAGAACTATGCAAACATAAAATGTTTCTATTATGCAACAAAAGAAAATCAGCATTTCTGTTTTAGTATTAGGAAAATATCTAGACAACTTGAGCTTATAGTGAAACAAAGTGAAATGTTACACAGTAGTCTTCTCAGCAGGTAGCTTTACAAGGCAGTACATTTCACCCTTTCAAACACTTTGGTATAAGTGAAATGAAAACAAATCAAAGAATAAAAACTCCTACTTTGGTTCTCACACTAACTAGACTTCAGCCATGAGCAGGTGGCACCGCTAGCTACCTCGGGCGACAAGATGAAAGTCTGCCATCTGCTCTGGCTCTCAGTGGGGGTAGACATGCCATGAGAGGCCATCGCAGGATTTCTGGGAGGTAAAGAGCTCCACTCCTTCTACAACTAGACTCTCGGCAGTGGCAATAGGCCGTGCAAAGCCGCAGATCCAGCTCAGAACACAGGAGACCCTGGCTACTTCCTCTTCACAAACAGGAAAATCCTGTATCAGGGCAGCTCAGAGCAATTCACATTTAAAGTACAGCAGAAGTGTCTTAAAAATCATGTTAGCATAGTTTCTCAAGGAGTCCATACTTAAAAAGAAAATATTACATTAATAAAAAGAAAATATAAATTTAATAGCTGACAATAGTTTTTTAAGAAACAGAAATAACCATCTGCGTGGTGTGAGCATCTCTTCTTTAGGACCACACTAACTGATGACTGCACAGCTCAAGAGACTGACGATTTCCGCTGCTTCATTCTATCATCATTCTGGTATTGCGTCTTCTCACCTACACTGTCCAAACACAGTACTGGTTTCTTTTCAGTATCTTTCTGTTCTGTGCATTTTTAAAAATGAATCCCTACACCTGAGGATTCTATGTTAGCAACTGTCGACGAACCGCTTTTCTGTCATCCACCACAGGAGCAACCAGGGAACCGCCTCAGGATTCTCTCAGCGATGGAATTCATGCTGGGACTTCCTGTGAAGGCAAGAGTCCAGAGAAACACTCCTCAGTCAACTTCACACACAGTAATGACACAAACCCACACTGCTGCAGTCACATGCCCTTCGTTACTAAAGCACATGGTAAGCTGCCTCCGAAGAGCATGGCCTGCAAGCACAAGTCCTCAGACTTGCCTTCCAAATGGGCAAGAGTGCACCAGAGGACACTCAGTGAGGTCAAGGCATGGCAGACCTAACAAAGAAAATATGGCAGTGGGCAACATGCTGATTGTCCCCCATGTTCATTTCATGCTCTTAGACTAATTCTAAAAAGGACTGAAGGTCATCAACGCAGCAGTATATTCTGGAAAACTGGTCTGTGTTTGAATGACCTAAACGTAATATTTTAAATTAACTATTTTACAGTATTTGTACAGTATTGGGAACGTAAATGCTAGGCTCAATTTTATAGACAGATCTAAGACAAAATGAAACTGTCCCAATGAACAGATCGTGTGGAGACAAAGGTCCTGCTGAGTGTCTCATCCTAGGGCAGCCGCTGCTCGGGTTCTGTTTGTTCTGTGCAGGAAGAGAAAGTCAGGGGAACTTAAACCACTTCAAAATTAATTTGAAACAGTAAGTCAAGGCTCTGATATCCTGAGGAGCCTGTACTAAAAAGTAGAAAACTGTAACTACTGTAACAGTAGGACATATCAGTGTTCTACATACCAGGAAAATATTCCAGGAAAGGTAGTCACATAGGAGGAGACACAAGAAATGAAATAGGCACAGCCCATGGCTCCAGCCTCGATGAAGATGCAAAAGGAGAAGCATGCAGATGGGCTGGGGAAGCCTGCACACCTCCATCAAAAATGGGAAGAGGGGAAAATCTTCCCAATATCCCAGCCACTTCCTGCAAATTTTGTGTTCTGAGGCCATACTACCAGCATGGTCAACAACGCACAAGCAGAGACATTAAGCTTAAGAAGACCTGGTGGGCCATGCCCTCGGTGGCTGGCAGAAGACAGAACTCAACTTTTGTCCAGCTAACATCTGATGTTAGGATGCACTCCAAACTTAGAGGCTAAAGTACAGAAAATATATGACTTAAACTCGAAACTATGAAACTATGAAACTTAAACTATGATAAATTGATAGAAGAGTTCAGCACACCCAGAAAACAAATACTGAACCAATGATGAAGGTATCAAGCCAGTGACAAAAAGGGAGCATCCATCAACACAGGATGCAGGTAAAATGATGAACTATTTAGGGAACGTGTAGTCTTCCTCAAGACCACACACTTCTAGAGTCAAATGAAAAACACAGAAGACCCGAAAGCTAGTGAAAGCAACTCTCTAAGCAGTAATTACTTTTAGACATGCTCCCTGCATTCCATCTAACCTAAGCAAAAATAAATGCAAGTAACAAACTGGAAAAAGAAATGGCAAAGTAAAAGTTAATATCCTTAAAAATCATAATTGGTAGCCACGGATGGTGGCACACACCTTTAATCCCAGCACTCCAGAGACAGAGGTAGGAGGATCTTTGAGAGTTCAAGGCCAATCTGGTCTACATAGCGAGTTCGAAGTCGGCTGGGACTACAGGGAGACCCTGCCTCAAAAAGATGAAAAAAAAAAAAAAAAACCCAAAAAACTAAAGAGCTTAAAGGGATCAACTTCCAAAATTTTGGGATGATACAACTGCAGGTGATTTCTGCTACTTCTTATTCTTTTCTGTGTTTTCTAAGGTCTTAGAATGAGGCACTATTATTTTCTGACTATTTTCAAAAACTGCTTCCAAGCCTATAAGGCATTTGTTCAGCAAAGTATGGCAGCTCCCATGGACCCTGTCACAGGACGAAGTGCACTCAGCAGTCCCCACTCTACACACTCCACCTTTTGCCGAAGCTGCCCAGCAGGTTACTGCCTCGAGCACCCGACTCCAGAGACACTGCATCCCCATCCTGCCACCAGCTCCCCTCATCTTCCATACCTGTCTTGTCATTCTCTTCCTGTCTCACCTGCCCTACCCCTGGTAAGCCCAAATCCCTGCTAATCCTAGACCTTGCCCAAGTAGCAGAACATGGCCAAAGAAGTCAGTACCAAGCGGACTCAACTTCAAATTTAGGGTCAAAATACCAAATGGGCATTCGAGCCTGTAATATAACACAATCACTCTCAGCTGGCAAACTCCTCTCCCACTCCGAGGCATCCATCTGCTCTTCTTTCCTCAGCTCTCCCCGAAGTCCTCCACCTCACTCTCAGCTGGTGACCTTCCTATACACCCCAAGAAAGCTGAACCCCCTAGAGAACATCCCTCGCCCGCCACCAACGCACACCTGCACCCACAGATTTGCCTTGCTCTGTTCTAAGGCTCAACTCCAGTGCACTCTGGTTACACACCCCATCTTTTCAGGTAACCTCCATTCCACGGCTGCTCCCTTTCACTCCAGTATTACCAGTTTCCCTTCAATAGTGGATCAGATCATGCCCACTGGCAAACATCTTCCTATCCCAACCATTACCTGCCACCTTACTTCTGTCACCCATCAGTAAGCTCCTCCTCCTCCACCACTTTCAGTTCTGGTTTGCCTTTGGTCACCAGCGATGCTCCATGTCTCCAGGAAGCCAATGGCCAATTCTTGGTCCTCCTCTTACCTGAACTCCACAGCAGCTGACACGGTTGGACACAGCTGGCAGCAATCCTCCCTCAGCTTCCCTGAGAGCTCAAATCTTGGAATTTTTCTATCACTTCAGGGGCTCCTCCTCCTCCTCCTCCACACTCCTTCAAGGTGATCTCGTCCATCTGTGGTTTCAGATGGCAAGTACATGCTGATGCCTTTTTCAATTTATCTTTAGCTCTGAGCTTTCTTCCGACTTTCAGACCAATATCAACTATTAACTCGATAAATAGAACTACTGATTTCCCACCACTTCCTCCATGAGCCTTGCTAGGGATGTACCCAGCTGCTCACATCCAAACCCACAGGCATCACGCTCCTTTACACCCCACAGAGACTTATCAGTGTCATGAACAGCTCTTCTTCCACAGCAGATCCAAATTCCATCCCCTCTCACCACCCTTCTGCTACAGCCCTAGTCCAAGTCACCAGTGGCTCTGCCTTCCCTCTTTCCTTGCCCCACAAACAGCCTACCCTCTACCCAGCACACATGTAAGCTTTCTGAGGTAGAAACCAAATCACGTCATCCCTTTTCTTAAAAGCTTCCATATTTTTGTGACACTTAGAACTGGTGCCTTGTAATCAGAATCTCCTGCCTCTCTGACTCACTCTTCTCCTCTGTTATCCTCCAGCCACACTCTTTTCTGACCCTCCATCACAAAAGGGTGGCTCCTCTCTTGGGACCTCTGCAGTCTCTTCCTCTTCCTCAGCACCTCACACATTCATCTTCCTCACCCATCAAGCCAGGTCTCCCCTGAAAACAACTCCCAGTCAGTCACCCTGGTCACTTCCCATATTGTCTTCCCACCAAATCTACCAATATCAGGCATGTACTTATGTCCTAGAGTACAACTTTCCTGCCAATCCCTGCCCAATATGGAAAATCCCTTGAAGGTGAGGATACAGGCTGGCTTATCACTCATCTCCAGCACAAAACTGGTATCTAGTACACAGCAAAGTGTATCTGACTGATAGACTATTTTAAAATTGCAAATCTGGGCTTTGGTTACTTTTGATGCTACGTTCAGTCTGTTTTAGTATTATAAGATATGGTAGAAACTAGCCAGGTGTGGTGGTGCATGCATTTAATCCCAGCACTCAGGAGACAGGGGCAGGTGGATCTCTGTGAGATCGAGGCCAGCCTGGTCTACACAGAGTATGCCAGGCCAGCTGGGGCAACAGGGAGACCCTGTCTTAAAAAGACCAAAAAAAAAAAAAAAGAGGGAGGAAGGAAGAAAAAGAAGAAGAAAGAAAGAAAGGAAGGAAGGAAGGAAGGAAGGAAGGAAGGAAGGAAGGAAGGAAGGAAGGAAAGAAAGAAAGTTGATAGAAACTGATAAAATGGTATACTATCTTAGATGAACTACACACACCCATGTATGCTAATATAGAACACTGGCTGAAGCAGCCCAGTTGCAAAACAATAATGAGATTTCTTTGCTTGATATGCACAGAGAAAATTCTGTAAGTGAATCAACTAAAAGTGGTTATCTTTAAAATGAGAAGGAGGTTGAAGGGAACCTTACCATTCACTATCAGAAAACCAAAATGTACTAGGACATACTTAAGATTTGGATAATTTAGAGCTGGGACTTTATGTTTCACTCCTTCAGAGGCTTTAAATTCTCTTACTTTTAAAAATTGTATTACCCTTTTCTGACCTCCATGGGTATTGCAGGGCATGGGTGCACTTACATACATGCAGGCAATATATTCATAAACATAAAATAAAAGATAATAAATATTTAAACATTGCATTACCAATGTGTGGTGGCACACTCCCTTAATCCCAGCACCTGGGAATCAGAAGCAAGTGGACTGCTGAGTTTGAGACCAGTCTGGTCTACATAGTAAGTTCCAGGCCAGCCACGGCTACATAGCAAGAACCTGCCTCAAAAAACAAAACCAAAGCCGGGAGTGGTGGTGCATGCCTGTAGTCCCAGAACTTGGGAGGTAGAGGCAGGTGGATCTCTGTGAGGTCAAGACCAGCTTGGTATATAGAGTGAATTCCAGGCCACCTGGGGCTACAGGGAGACCCTGTTTCAAAAAGACCAAAAAATAAACAAACAAACAAACAAATAAATAAATAAATAAAATAAAAACCATGCTACCCATTTTCTTTTCAAATCTTTTGGTTTGGTTTGGTTTGCTTTAGGTTAGTGTAGTATAGCGTACTTCAGTTTTAATTTCGATTTTTGAGACCGGATCTCACTTTATAGTCCAGGCCGACCTGGAACTTAACTATGGTTTGTTTGTTTTGGGGGTAGGGGAGGGAAAGTTTGCTTGTTTGTTTTTCTGAGAGAGGGTCTCCTGTAGCCCAAGCTGGCCTCCAGCCTGCTGTGCAGCTGTGGATAACCTTGAGCTTCTCGATCATCCTGATCACCACCTCCTGGGCACTGAGATGACAGGCATGAGCCACAACACTTGGTTTTTGTGTGGTGACAGGGATCAGAGCCAGGGCTTCATGTACGCTACAAGCATGCTACCAAATGAGCCATAGCCTCCAGACCTAGGGTAACCTTGAACTCACGGCGATCCTTCTGCCTCAGCCTCTCCCAAGTGCTGAGACTACACACCTGGTTCCTAATTTTTAAAGCAATGCATAATCTAATGAAGAAAACAAGTTAACCTGTATCTAAGGACAGTGAAAAGAACAGCGCATGGCTGACTTGCAGATTGGACCACTCATCAAAGACCTAGCCCCCTTCTCTATTCCTTCCCTCTAATCAGATTAAAAACATTTAAAGTATCACCTTTACAATCTTCATACAGACCAGGGGCTGAGTATGGGACATAGAACACAGGCCTCAGTCAATGGAATGCCTTTCGCTTTTTGCTGCTGTTGTCATTTTTGTTTCTGGAGACAAGGCCAGGATACCCCTAAATTCACAATCATTCTGCCTCAACTACTCAAGGGTTGGGATTCCCACACACTCATGCCATGAATGCAGACATGGTGTTTGGAAGTACAGGACACAGCTGTCAGCAGTAAGAACAAACAATGGGGGTTGAAGAGATGTCTCAGTGGTTAAGAACACTGGTTGTTCTTGCAGAACACCCGGGTTCAAATCCCAGCACCCACATGGCAGTTAACAACTGTCCGTAACTCCAGTTTCAGGGGATCCAACAGCCTCTTCTGTTCTCCACGGGCATTGCACCACATAGGTGCACTTACCTACATGCAGGCAATACATGCATACACATAAAATAAAAATAATATTAAAAAAACAAAAAGAAAGAGAACAAACACTAGAAGATGGCAACAGTTCGAGTACCTGAGGGCATCATTCAACAGAGGACCCTTCCTGTTACAGACAGGAAATAAATCTCTACTTGAGGAATGAACAGGATTCTGGGCCCTACAGACAAAGGAACTCCTAACTGCTAAGCTGGGAATCTATTTTTAAAAGAAACTGAAAATAAGAAAACCCTAATTCTACATAGATTTGGGGATAAGATTTTTTTTACTTTATTTATTTAGAAAGGCTCTCATTACATTGTCCAGGCTAGTCTCAGACTTAACCTCCTCCCGCCTCAGACTCCCAAGTCAGACATGTACTACCACTCCTGGGTCTAGAAAGATTAAAATAACTCAGGCATGCATGTTGCAAACCATTTCTTTCCTTATCATCTCTATTCTGAATTTAAACAATAACAGCAAAAACAAAATTAACAAAGGGGGCTTGAGAGATGGCTCAGCGGTTAAGAGCACTAGCTGCTTTTGCAGAGGACCTGGGTTTGAGTCCCAGCACCCACATGGTGGCTAACAACTGTCCATAACTCCAGTTCCAGGGGATCCAACACCCTCTTCTGACTTCCATGGGCATGGCATGTGGTGCACAGACATACACGCAGGCAATATACTCATACACATAAAATAAAAACAAGAACAAAAACAAAAAAAAACCAAAGAATCACTTCATACAAAAGACTTCAGAATCTAAACATGAGAATTAACTCACACAGTAAAATGGAAGTCTGATCAATGCTGGGGCTGCTCTGGACTAATGTTCATTGTTCGATAAATTTCTTTAAGTAACAAGAGGGCAGTATCTTCAGATTCCCTGTCAAAAAGAAAATCATACTTACTTAAGAAAGAATTAGTAAATGTTAGCACCTATGTACAAAGGTGCTAAGTGTCACACATGCTGCTCTATTCAACCCTATCTGAGAAGGGCAAAGGATGGCAAAGCCATGGAGTAGAGAAGTCTTTAGAAGTTGTACAGACATCAAACAGCTCAAAACAGTCATGCCGCAGCTCTTCTTGGTGATGGGGGCTTATGGAAGAATGGCTCTTCCAAGTCTCTACCACATCCACCATGTACCATATTATGTCCTTCAAAAACAGTGTACAAATGCTGGGTGTGGTGCTGCACGCCTTTAATCCCAAGCACTTGGGAGGCAGAGGCAGGTGGGTAGATCTCTGTGAGGCCAGCCTGGTTTACACAACAAATTCCAGGCCAGTCATGGCTACAGGGAGACCCTGTCTTTACAAAAAAAAAAAGTATGCAGGTGCCAATGGTCTCTGGTCAAAGGCAGATGACATACTGCCACCTGGTGGATAACGCAAATTCTATGTAGATGGAGAAAGACTGTTAAGTCAGAAATGTAGAGTGCTAACCAATTCCCTTCCTTAATATCTCCATTTTGAACTTAAAACAAAACAAAACCTTAAAGAGGAAAAATGCTTTTAAACATATGAGTTCAATTATTTTGAATATATTAAGCCATCACAAACAATTAATCAGTAAAAGAACCTCACTAAAATTAAAATGTTGTCTATCCAGTTAAAAGCCACCCAGGTAGAAAAATAAAGAATACTTACCAATAGCACAAGTGACTCTGAAGAGCGAAAAGATACTCATTAAAACTCTCTATTGGCTTCTCTTGAAGAACATAATCAATTCGGCGGCCTCCGTTTAACATTCCAACCTTTCCTAAGTAGTCCTCATCCTTGGAAAAATCTGGACTTTCAACAATCTTTTCTGCTAGAATTTAAACCATTTCAATATCAAAGTCAATCACTTAATCATTATCCTCTGATTTTAGCTGACTCTCTGGGCTCAATGGGAATATCGCTTGACACACGTAGCAACTGGGGAGCTACCAGGCTCACTCCCCACTCCTCCAAAGAATGGGGAAGAGGGGCTGGTTCCCCAGAGAGAGGAGGGAGAGCCAACGGCTGACAGAAGTTGTGAAGATAAGGGATGAGACAGCATTGCAGAAAGAAAGGAAACAGAATTAGAATCTGAAAGTCAAAAAGCACAACCCACCTGACAGTACATATGGAGTCTCTTAAGTACACAGTTAAACCAGTATCAGGATGGTAATTTCTTAAGAGTCTTTACAAAGCCTGAATACAAACTGAGCTCTCAAATGGCATTCCATCCTGGCTTTAAGAATCTAAATAAACTTTTTAAATCACATAGAAAAAGCTCAGGAACTATCAGCTTAAAAACATATTAACAAAAGATGACGGCGATTTTAATGTATGCCCCTGACACTACAGTTATCATGACAGTCTCTTTATAGGAGGAGCTTATTTGACAAAAAAAATCTAGAAAGAAAGTGTTATCCAATAATTTACAAATATTATGCTCTTCAGCATCTTTTGTACTGGAAAATGACTCAAGTGTCCAATTTACCTTCAACGACTTGCTTCTCTTCCTCCTCTTTGATTTGATTGGCCACCTTCTCCAGTTCTTCCTGTAACTGAGTTGAAGAGGTGTGAGCCCGTGCAAACTCATTAAGCGTCTGCCAAGCACTTTTCAGAGAGCTAATAAAGCCCTGCTTCAAGTCAGATCCCATACGAGAGAGACTTTCTTTCAACTCTAAAGAGATTAAGATGACATACTAAGTTAATTAGCTACTAGAATTCTGTGTCACAGAAATTAAAAGTTAATGTCCTGAAAAAATTAGGATCTCTTCTTCCTCCCTTACAAAATGGAGGGAGCATCTCGGAACCGAGGACACTCAAAAAGGTACAATGTGGGTTGGGCTAGGAATTTTTTGTTGTTTGGCTGGTATTTTTGAGGCAGGGTCTCCCCATAGTCCTATCTGGTCTGGAACTCACTAAGTAGACTTGGCTGGCCTCAATCTCACAGAGATCCACCTGCCTCTGCTGGGATTAAAGTTGTGGGCCACCATGCCTGGCTGGGGTTTTTTGTTGTTTTTATAGACAGTGTCTCATTAGGTAGGACCAGCCTTGAATGAGTAATCCTCAGTCTCTGAGTGCTAAAATTATAGGTATGCACTACCATACTTGGCTTTTTGTTTTCTTGTCTATTTATTTGTTGAGAAGGTGTCTTACTTGTAGACCATGCTGTCTTCAAATTTACAGTGATCCTACTCTTCAGACTTCTGAGCACTGGGGAGTACTGAGGTTAATGACAACCATGCATTACCATACTCAGCTCTTTTTTCCTTTTCTTTTTTCAGAAAGCATTTATTATCTTTATTCTTTTTTTTAACTCTTTATTTCCAAGAAGTGTTGTCTTTGCATTATTTCTAGCCCTCCCAGTTTTCCTCCAACTCCTCCCATGCCCCCCACTCCCTCTCAATTTCTTGTCCTCTTCTTTATTATTGTTACATAAACAGACATACATTTATAAATACACACACACACACACACCACACAGTCCATTTAGTAATGTTGTTGTGTACCTGTTTTTAGGACTGCACATTTGGGATCAGATAACCTTTTAAGGAGCTAGTCCCTGGAGAAAACTAATTCTCCCTCCCTCATATACATTGATTGCTGTAGCTCTTCATCTTGAAGAGGAACCCTTCCTTCAAGTTATTGATCACGTGGTAGTTTGAATGACAATGTCCCCCACAGGCTCCAAGTATCTGGGCATTTTGTCATCAGTTGGTGGCACTGTTTTGGGAGGTTTTAGGAGGTGTGGGCTTGCTGGAGGAAGCATGTCACTGGGGGTGGGCTTTGAGAATTCTTAAGCCTTGCCAGATTTCCAGTCCCTCTCTGCTTCCTGTGCCTGCTTAAAGATGTGATCATTATGCTTTCTGCTCGTCTGTGCCTGCTTAAAGATGTGATCATTATGCTTTCTGCTCGGGCCACCTCTGCTGCCATGTCTACCCCATCATTATGGAGTCTTACCCCTCTGGAAACATAAGCTCAAATAAGCTCTTCCTTCTATAAGTTGCCTTGGTCATGGTGTCTTGGCACAGCAACAAAAAAGTAAATAATAGTCAGGATAGTCCAAAAGACTCCCCAAATAACACGGGCTATTGCCACAGCCCTTGATTGCCTCCCAGAACTTGAAGGTAAGGCCCTATTGCTGAAGTCACTACATACTTCGGACACACAGGACTTGGAGCAATGGAGCTGGAACTAACCTGGAAGCCTCCCATGGTATCAGAAGATACTATGCAAGCTGCCAAAGGAGAAAAAGAATCAATGATCCTCCCCAGCTAAAAAGCCTGCAAATCACAGACTGGCCCCGCATATCACCTCTATTGGCGCAGCAGTGTCACTTTTATCTTGGGGGTAATCAACAGCTGTCTAATTGGACTTAAGGCCCGCTCAATGGGAGAGAATGCATGCACAGTACTGTAAACAGCCAAGCACACATGACTGGAGAGGTCACAGACCATAGAGAAGAACCTACTTCTGTCTCTTCCCCAGATCAAAATAATTTCTTACTATATTCTAAATATGTACCTTTATATTGACAGACAAGTGTACCTCTCATCACTCATCAAAGAAGCTTCTTTTTGCAAATGACGGAGACTGTTACAAAGTTCCCCAATTGGTCAAATGCAGACAATAAGTGTCTATGAGCTGCCTAGTCCTAAGCAACACAACTACAACTCAACCTCTATACCTAAGGCTCATGGAATACTGAGGAAGACAAGGTGGAAAGAATGTAAGAACCAGAGGGACAAGACACCTGCTACTAGTTAATGTGTTCTGTACATCATAGGTGAGCTGCAACAATGAACTGCACAGTATGGTAGTCGAACAAGATCTGCACAAAAGCCGGGTGTGGTGGCCCTCACCTTTAGTCTCAAACTCTCGGGTAGCAGAGGCAGGCAGATCTCTGTGAGTTCAAGGCCAGCCTGGTCTACATAGTGAGTTCCAGGACAACTGGGGCTACAGGGAGACCCTGTCTCAAAAACACAAATAAATAAATAAATAATAAATAAATAAATAAATAAATAAAATGAGATCTGCACAATGACAAAACCAGCTCTTTTTAACAACTTGATCCATCTCAAATCTACAAATTTCTTCTCAAAAAGAAGTTCAAATATCAAAACAATATAAGCATATTCATATACATAATACTTTTCTTTTGTTTTTTTGAGACAGGATCTCATTATATAGCCCTACGTGGCCTGGAACTTGCTATTACACCAGGTTTACCTTCAACTCACAGAGATCCACCTGCCTCTGCCTCCTGAGTGCTGGGAGTAAAGGTATAAGTCACAACACCCAGCTAACATTTTTTTTTTCTTTTGTCTTTTTGAGGCAGGGTCTCCCTGTAGCCCCAGCGGTCCTGGAACTCACTATGTAGACCAGGCTGGCCTGGAACTCACAGAGATCCGCCTGCCTCTGCCTCCTGAGTGCTGGGACTAAAGGCATGCGCCACCACGCCCAGCCAACCAGCTAGCATATTTATACACTTTCTACTAGAAACTTTTTAAATAGGCCTACGGACTTAAAAAGTCAGTGCTTTTCTAATTTGTGAAAATGAGATGATTTGGAGAATTTAAGCTACTGGGTTGATGAGATAGATTAATGGGTAAAAAGGCACTTGTTGCCAAGCCTGGTAGGCTGAGTTTGAGCCTAACAACCCACAAGTAGAAGAGAAGACTCTTGAAAATTATCCTCTTGGGGGCTGGAGAGATGAGATTCATTGGTTAAGAGCACTGATTGTTCTTGCAGGAGACCCAGGTTCAAATCCCACACCCACATAATGGCTAACAACTGTCCAAACTCCAGTTCCAGGGGACCCGACACCCTCTTCTATCCTCCATGGATACTGAATGACACAGGTACACTTACACACAGGCAGGCAATACACTCATACACATAAAAAAAGGAAGGAAGGAAGGAAGGAAGGACGGTAGGAAGGAAGGAAGGAAGGAAGGAAGGAAGGAAGGAAATTATCCTCTGACCTCCACACACATGCCAAAGCACACTAGTGTGCACATACACAAAACATCTAATTTTTTTTTTTAATCTGATAAAGGAGCTGGGGTGATAGCTCAGCGGGTAAAGCACTTGCTATGCAAGCTTGAAGACCTTACTTTGAACCCACACAAAGCCAGGCAGGGTAGCATGAGTCTAGTCTCAGAGCCCCTATGAGGGACATGGAAGGTGGAGACAGGATAATCCCTGGCAGCTTGTGGACCACTTGTTTGGCATATGCAGCAGAAAAAAACAAGAGACCATGTCTCAAACAAGGCTGAAGGCAAGGACAGACACCTGATTGTCTTCTGACCTCCACTGTGGCACACACCTCCATTCATACAAAATGCACACACACACACATGTGCACGCACGCGCACACACATACACACACACACACACACACACACACACATACACACGAGACTTTTTTAAAAAGATTCTGGTATGACCACAAACTAAACTTCTCATTTAGAAAGAAAGAAATCCTATCCCTTTATTACGTGTATGCTTGTTTAACAATCATATGTGAATTCAAAGTTTGTGATTTATCAAATTTCTCATTTTAACTCTTAAGAGTTAAGGTTTTTTCATTTTTTACTTATTATTTGTGTATTGCTATTAAAAAAAAAAAAAGTTTAAATGTTAGTCTTCTTCATTCCAAAAATGACAAACCATCAAAAATCTAACTGGAGTCTTACTAGTGTATCATCAACTTGCCTCCATACCTATCTCAACAAGTACAATTCCATCAAAGAGCAAGAACTCCTTCATAACTTCTTTATAGTACCTCCGAATCCTTAGGAAGAAGTCTGAACAAAGCAGACACTTCAGTAGTGTTAATTCTGTCAAAAACAATTTAGGGGTAAAACTCAAAATTCAGACCAGAAAGATGGCTGAGTGGGTATCAAAAGTACTTGCTGCACAAGTCTGATGACCTAAGCTTGACCTGGGACCCACAATAGGAGAGAACTGAATCCTCAAAGCTGTCTGCTGATCTCCACATGTGCACAGTGGTACATATGTGCCCACACTCAAACACAAACGTCATACACAGTAATAAATACTTTTTGAAACTTTTACAAATCATGATACATTTCAGTATCACAAGAAAGAGCATTTTGAATTTTGTTAGCTTGTTGTGTTTTGCTGAGACAGGGTGTCATGTAGCCCAGACTGGCCTATACTCACTTGGTAGTGGTACATGGCCTTAAACTTCTAATCCTCCTGCGTCCCTCTCTCAAGCGCTGGGATTACAGGTGTGAGCTACCACACCTGGCTCTGGAAAAAGATGACACAACATTTGTTTCTTACCTAAATGAAGTCTTTTCCTGCCTTTGTGATGTGGAATGAGAACTGCTTTTAGGTCCAAATCTGGAACAATCATAGGTTCTAATCTATATGCCACCGGATCAAGCTGCAAAGAGGAAAATTGGAAATTCATGAAAGTTTTTGAGTTATAAGTCACAGTTGGGTAAGAAAATAGCTAACTGTGGGGGCTGGAGAGATGGCTCATCGGTTAAGAACACTGGTTGTTCTTGCAAAAGACCCGGGTTCAAATCCCAACACCCACATGGCAGCTAAGAACTGTCTATAACTCCAGTCCCAGGGGATCCAAAAGCCTCTTCTGACCTCAGCGGGCATTGCACGACATGGGTGCACTTACCTACATGCAGGCAACATGCATACACATAAAATAAAAATAATAAATTATTTTTTTTAAGTTTTAAAAGAAAAGAAAAAAGAAAATGGCTGATAGACCAGAGAATATGACTTTTTCCCCCCAAAATCTTACTCAGAAACCAACAATTACAAGGTTTTCTTTCTTTTCTAAAATTTGTAATTAAAAATTTGAGAAATTCATGCATGAGTACTATATTTACTTCATCTCCGCCCCTCCTGATCCGCCCCCCACCAATTATAAGATTTTCCAATTTGTAGGTAGAATTATTTTGCAAGCAAAGCAATAAACACATTTTTTCCTTTGAGGAAAAGCTTTCTGGTAGAAAAGTTTACTGAAAAAAGACAGACAGCTGAGCCTTGCAAAATCATGACTGATACTAATTCTCAAGTAGTAATAATCTGAGAATCTATCTGGATAAGGAGGGCAGAGCTTTCATCTTTAAGTAGAAAGCAAGTAAATTCAAGCCACACACCGGGTGATAAATATTGAAGAACCCTTTGCACGTAGGAAGCCGGTAGTTCTCAGCGATCCTGTCCACACCCCGAATAGTGAGAAACATGCCGATGGGAGATCCCAAGGCAAAGAAAATTTCTGGTTCAAAGTCTAGTGAGTTGTAAGCAACAGAAACCTAGAAAGAAGCATACAGCAATAAAAGATGATCTATCCACAGTCACATACACAAAATCCCTCTGAACTTTCAAATGTTCTTCAAACTGCCCTGGCTTATGAGTATTTAAATAAAGATGCTGGCCCTGAGGGACAGCTGTTGTGAGCATAGAAAGATTAAATAATTTTCTCTTTAAAACAGTCATAGTCTGTGGTGCTGTGGTGTCTCAGCACTGAAGAGGCAGAGGCAGGTGGATCTCTGTGAGTTCAAGGCCAGCATGGTCTATAATAGTGAGTTCCAGGCCAGCTGGGGCTACAGGGAGATCCTGTCTCAAAAAGACAAAAAAAAAAAAAAAAAAAAAAAAAAAAAAAATTCAGTCTGTTAGACCCCCTTGGGTCTACCTTTACTGTCTAATATAATAAATGTAGCATGGAAGTACTGTATTAACTGTGGCTATGCATGCGACTAAAATTGCGGAACCCTTGGTCCTCCTGCCTGAGTCTGTATCTACACCTGTTTCTTAACCTCTTTTGCTGCTGCCATGGTTATGAAATGTTGATGTGGCAGCACACACCTTTAGTCCCAGCACTCAGGAAGCAGAGGCAGGTGGATCTTGTGAGATCAAGGCCAGCCTGGTCTGCTATGTGCTTACAAGGTTTTCCAGCAATGAACAATGTACACCGTGGCTTTGCAATGCCCAACCACCTTACAACGACTAGGTCTACTGACTCAGCCCACCAACCATGGATGTAGCACACGACCTGGGTTAAATCAATTAACCTGTATCCAGAATCAAGTAAACGCACTCCTTGAATGTTCCTTACTGGACCTAAAGGACTAAGTTCATATTTCCCAGTTTCACAGAGTGGGAGGTATGCTGTGAGTGTCTGAGAGCTCCGAGCCCCTCTATGCCGTCAGCCTTCACAGGGAGGAAAGGAAGTGCCTGCCTTTATTTGTTGGTATTTGTTCTATCTTGCTCATGTTTGAAAAAGAAAGACACTTTAGCAATACAATGTTGGTCCAGCGAGATGGCTCAGTGGATAAAGGTGCTTTGCCTCCAAGCCTGAAGACACCTGAGTTGAACCCCAGGTCACAAACAGTAGGAGAGAACCGACTCCTAGAGTTGTCCTGGCCTCCATATGGGTGGCATGGTGTGTGTACATGCACTCACATACAAACACAAAACTAATACCTAAGTGTGATAATGAAAAACATTTTAAAAATACAATCTGTGTATGTACGTGTATGTGTTTGAGTGTAGGCATGTACATGCCACAGTATGCAAGCGGAGGTCAGGGGACAACCTTGGGTCCTTGGATGTCTGGTCTCACCTCCACCTTGTTTATTGGTTGCTTCTGCATATTCTGAGCCAGCTGGCCTTCGAGCTTCCAGGGATTCTGTCTCCACTTCCCAGCTCCCCTTGGGAGAATGGGAACTCTAGACATGTGCTTACCTAGGCCCAGCTTTACCTAGGTTCTAGAGATCTGAATCAGGCCCTCATGCTTGCCTAGCAAGGACTGTTCCCGCTAAGCTATCTCCCCAGCCCTAAAAATTGCAGCAATGTTTAGTAAGGAATTGGGCTCAGAACATGAAGAGGAGAGATCCAACACCAAGTTCCACGCTGTGCTTTTGTGAATTTTCTTATGGTGCCGGGTCCCTATGTGTATAACTGCATAGATACTGCGCAACACTGTCCGAAGGGTTCAGTACCTCAAACCACTGAAATGCAAGTACACTGAAGTATGTATCTCGAGTGCAGCATTACCAACTCCTTGTTCATTTACACAGTTTTTCCCCAAAACAAGAACTGTGAATAGCAGAAAGCATAAACTGAGTGAACACTCAATTTCTCACATAGAGATGTGCAGATTCTGAACATAATTTTCTAACTATAGCCTTTCTGTTATGAGATGAACGCTATAAAATCCTAAGTGGTGAAGACTAAAAGATAATTAAAGTCAGAGGGCAGGCTTGGTACATGGCAATCTTGTCGTCTCAACATGACTGAAGAAGCACAAAATTTTCAATAAGAGAAAATCACTTTTCTCTGGACAGCTACAAATGTATATTACATAAACATTTCAAAATGTAAGCCAACCTGAATGGTAAAGATGTGCAATGCGGTGGAGCATGGTGGCACACGCCTTTAATCCCAGCACTTGGGAGGCAGAGGCAGAGGCAGAAGGATCTCTGTGAGTTCGAGGCCAGCCTGGTCTACATAGTGAGTTCCAGGACAGCTGGGGCTACAAGGAGACCCTGTCTCAAAAAGACCAAAAAAAAAAAAAAAAAGATGATGTGCACTGCCAACGTAATATGCAGCCCTAGCCATGCATGAGCATACCTGTCCTGTGCCAACTTCAAAGGACTCATAGTCAACATGTACAGAAGACACACAAGCACCAACTGGAAGCTTCCTCTTTGACGCGTTGGCTGCAGGGGGAGAAGCCACCCCCTTGGTCTTCTGAGCACTCTCATCCTGGCCTTTCGTCAGAGCAGCCATCACCGCCTTCTTTTCTGATGCTGCTTTTTTCTGCTCCTATGAAGTGGCCAAAGAGTATAAGGCAATTGTGAGGAAGAGTCTCAGTTCTTGCTATCACTACCCATTATGCTATTAAGGAATTGCTTGTAATTTACACATAACTACAACACTGGAGTTACTGGGAAAATGTACTTTTTAGAGACACAGACTAATTACAAAGAAGACATACCATGACAGCAATAATAAATTTGAAATTTCTTAGGAAAGAAAAAGATTACAAACGAGAAACAAACAAAACAGCTAAAATTAAATCTAATACTGGCTATTTTACATGAATTTCAAAATTATTAAGTATAAGAAGGCAGATAAAAAATGTGCATTCTGGCCCACTCTGGGCGTGGTGGCGCATGCCTTTAGTCCCAGCACTTGGGAGGCAGAGGCAGGCAGATCACTGTGAGTTCAAGGCCAGCCTGGTCTACATAGTGAGTTCAGGTCAGCTGGGGCTACAGGGAGACCCTGTCTCAAAAACACCAAAGGAAAAAAAAAAAAGTGCATTCTGTTACATGTTTGAGTATGAGAATGTCTAGAGTAGAAAAACTATTCTCTGACAATAAAAATCAACAGTGGGGGGTGGGGCTGGAAAGATAGCTCAGCGGCTAAGAATACTGGCTGCTCTTGTAGAAAACCCAGGTTCAAATCCCAGCACCCACATGGTAGCTAACAACTGTCCATAACTCCAGTTTCATGGGATCTGATGCATTCTTTTGTCCTCCATGGACACTGCACAACACAGGTGGACTTACACACTTACATGCAGGCAACACACTCACACACATAAAATTAAAAAAAAAAATCAACAGTGGTCACAGAGAGAGAATAATTAGCAAGGGAGAAGAAGATGGAGCTGCCTAAGAGACATGTTCTGTTTCTTATTTTAGGTAGTGACAACACACATACACAGTGGTCAAATTTTACTATCCAGAACACTTATGATCTACGCACGCATTTCCATAAACAAACAACAAAAGCTAGGGGAGCAAATACATATATTACCGGGGGTTTTTTTTGGGGGGGGGTAATTGGTTTTTTTTTAGACAGTCTCTCTGTAGTCCCAGCAGGCCTAGGACTTGCTACTTAGACTAGGCTGGCCTCAATCTCACAGGGATTACCTGCCTCTCCTGCCTAGTGCTGGCATTAAAAGCAAGGACTACCTTGTCCAGCTAAAAGTATTATTAATAATGAGATAAAGCTGCTCCCAGTGGTTTTTAAGTATACCCTGAGTGTATACCCATGTCAGGAGAAAGCAAGCATGTGCCAAGGTGAACCCGTCTACCTCAGGGTCAGAGCCCTTACTCTCTAGGCTAGGAAGGATTATGTATCACTTTCTGTTTAAACAACTATTAACAGCAGCTACACAAAACAGTTGGCTAAACTGCTCTTATTTACTAGTTAATTCCAAATCTTAAGAATCAGGAAAGTTGTTCAACTGGTTAAAACAAAGACAGTAACTAAATAAAAGAAAACCCTCAGTCAGTCGGCCTGTAGCTGAGTCCACCATCAATGCTTGGTGACCTCAACCCTTTGGAGATGGCACAAATTTAAACCTAAAATCCCAAAAGAAGAACATTCACAGCATTGTTCTAACTACTGTTTGCTTTCTCACTCAGTGTTACCTCTTGCTATTCCCAGAACCTGATACTCTACATTGCTAAGAGTGCTCTACAGAGATCATCTACTGACTTACTGCCAAGGGTTGCTTTGTGGCCCCCAAAGTCACTGGCTACAATTTTATAACTAAATGAATCAACATATACCTAGGTGACTAACATTTACAATACTGAAAACCATTCCTTTTCAAATGAAAATGACTAGGATAGTTTACAGAGGGGGACGAAAGCATACAAGCCATCAATATTTGATATCCTTACTAGAAAATGATTGGCTAATTTTGATTTCATTATTTCACTGACAGTAAATCAATAGGATATACTGTGTATTATCTTCACCTGGTAGCATTTTACCTGTGAGCAATACAGAGCAATCAGTGCAATGCGACCGACGATGTTCATCTGAAGGCAATTACTTTTGAATTTAAAAACTTACACTACAGATTTTTTTACTCATTTTTCCAAATATTCTTAAAATGCCATGACATTTATCAAAGAAATTGCTGCTTATAAAACAGGTTCCTTCTAGAAATTTTTCAAAGAACTTCTCTACTTTTTATCTCCTAGTACAGAAAAAAATTAAGGACAGGAGGCAGAGCCTGCAAACACCACTTCTGGATCCTGTCCTGCCTGTGGGCCTGGTCTCACCGCTGTGTGTACAGCACAGTCCTGACATGCCTGTCTCGGCCACCTCGTTTATCAGGGTAGGATCTGAGATCACTTTTCAGACTGTCAACTAAACTCAAGTGTGGAGAACAACATCTGGGGGTCAGCCTGCAGGACTTCTGAGGGACTCAGGGGGGACAACAAGCTCCTTGTGAAGTGGATCAGGGAGTGACTGGCACAGGGCAGAGATGAGCCACCTTGGCCTCACAGCCTTTCTCAGTACCTATTCCAACAGTCTGCTCTTCCCAAATGTCCTGCGAGCTGCTTTCTTTCTGTCCATCCTCAAATTCATACCATTGCCATCTCTCCCAGTTAGTGCATACACTGTGCACAAGCCTCTGGCTTCCGGCTTCATCCTTCTCTGCGCCATCTGCCTACTAGTCCTGCCCTCGCTGGCCCTGGCCAGCAGCAGGTTCTCCAGCAGTGTACCTCAGTCACTGAACCACAGAATCTGCTGTTCCTAAAGTGAAAGTATGGTTCAACCCAAAGAAGAAAACAACACAGGTAAGAACAGAACTGTCTCAACTTAAGACTTTCAAGGCCTTTTCGCTTTTTGTTAGCTTCTTTAGTGCTCTGTATCATCCAGAAGGTCCAAGCCCATAGCCAAACACAGAAAATACATTTTTATTTATTTATTTATATATATATTTTTTGTGTGTGTGTGTATGAGTATTTTGCCTGCATGTATGTAAGTGCACCCATGACATGTAACACCATGGAAGTGAGATGATGGCACCAGATTCCCTGGAACTGGAGTTATGGACAGTTGTTAGTTGCTATGTGAGTGTTGGGAATTGAACCTAGTCCTCTGAAAGCAGCGGTGCTCCTAACCACTGAGTGATCTCTCCAGCAGCTCCCAGAAAATAATTTTTGGAAGTACAAAAAAGTCAATATATTCAAAAGTTCACTCATTACAGCCAGGCATGGCTTTATGCCTTTAATCCCAGTACTCTGGAGGCAGAGGCAGGCAGATCTGAGTTTGAGGCCAGTCTGGTCTACACAGCAAGTTCCAGGCCAGCCAGGTCTACATAGTGAGACCCTGTCTCAAAAATCAAGAAACAAAGAAAAAAGATAGCCTGGGGTTGGAGAGATGGCTCAGTGGTTAAGAGCACTGACACTCTTACAGAGGACCCAGGTTTAGTTCCCAGCACCCACATGGTGGTTAATAACTGCACATCAACTCTAGTTTCAGGGGATGTGACACCCTCTTGTGAACTCTGCAGGCATTGTGCAACACAGGTGCACTTACATACATGGAGGCAAAATACTAAAGTGCACACACACACAAATAAAAAAATTAATTTTTTTAAAAGCTCATTCACTATAGATCATACATGAAATTTTGTAGTGTAGCTCATGAAATATGCTTAAAATTTTTTAGTTTTCTAAGTAAGTAAAAACTAAAGTTTAAGGGCCAAGTGTGGTGGTACACACCTTTAATCCCAGTACTCGGGAGGCAGAGGCAGGCAGATCTTTGTGAGACTGAGGCCAGCCTGGTCCACATAGTGAGTTCCAGGCCAGCTGACGCTGCTGAGAAACTGTCTCAAAAAGACAAATAAAAGGCTGGAGAGATGGTTCAGCATTGAAGAGTACTGGCTGCTCTTGCAGAAGACCCAGGTTCAATTTCCAGCACCCACATGGTGGCTAACAACTGTAACTCCAGTTTCAGGGGAATCCAATGCCCTCTTCTGACCTCTGTGGGCACTGCATGACACAGGTGCACTTACATGCATGCAGGCAATACACTCACACACATAAAATAAAAAGTAAAATATTTTTAAAAAGACAAAAAAAAAAAAAAAAAAACCCGTTTAGGGACTGGGGCTGTAGCTCAGGTGGTAGAGTACTTGCGTAGCATGTACAAGGCCCTGGTTTGATGCCCAGCACTGTATAAACCAGGCACGGTGCAGCTGGTAGAGCACACCTGTAATCCCAGCACTGGAGACATGGAGGCAGACGTTCAAGGTCAACCTCAGCCACATAGTAAGTTTGAGGCTAGCCTGAGATACATGAGGCCCTATCTCAAAAAAAAAAAAAAAATCTAAAATTTAGACTAAATAGATTTAATGCTAACTTGTGAGAGATTAATAAACAGATCACATATACTATTTCATGTCCATTTCAACCTATGAGTAAGGACATTACAGCTCAGCTCCCATTTTTTTTTTTTTTTTGTTTTTTTTGAGGCAGGGTCCTCCAGTTGGCCTGAAACTTACTATGTAGACCAGGTTGGCCTTGAACTCACAGAGATCCACCTGTCTCTGCCTTCAGAGTGCTGGGATTAAAGGCGTGTGCCACCACACCTGGCTCATTTTAATTTCTTTTAATAATTATTTTATCTACATGTATGTATGTACGTGCATGTGCACTTGCATGCAGGTGCCCGTGGAGACCAGAAGATGTGGGAGTCCCCTGGAGTTGGAGTAACAAGCAGTTGTGAGCTGCCCAACAGAGGTGCTGGGAAATGAACTCAGGTCCTCTGTAAGAACAGTACCCATTCTTAAAACTGAGCCATCTATGAAGCCACCCCATTTTAATTTTTTCATTAATTTTTATTTATCTATCTGTGCATGTCTGTGCTCTGTGTGTATATGCATGAGGAGGCTGGAAGACAACTTATAGGAGTTGGTTTTTCTCCTACCATGTGGGTCCCAGGGATGGAACTCAGGTCGTCAGAATTGGCAGCAAGCACCTTTACCCAGTAAGCCATCTTGCCAGCCTTCAATTCCCATTTTAGAAATGAAGGAAATCAAGGATCAGAGAAAATAAGTTAATGATCATGAATATGCAGTTAATAAGCTGTCCAACTTATTAGGACACTTGATTCATCCATTTGCCTAGAACATCGCAAGTTTTTCCTGTGGGAAATCCTCAAGTATCAGTTTTAAAAATGAAAGCCCGCCGAGCATGGTGGTGCATGCCTTTAATCCTGGCACTTGGGAGGCAGAGGCAGGCGGATCTTTGTGAGTTCGAGGTCAGCCTGGTCTACATAGTGAGTTCCAGGACAGCTGGGGCTACAAGGAGAGCCTGTCTCAAAAAGACACACACAAAAAACGAAAGCCCTTTGTCCTGGGATCTTTCTCTTTCTGCTCTAGGACATCAAAATGGCCAGTTATTCTGATCTGTATAGAAGCCCAGACCCTACTAACTCCAGGGCCTGGGCTTCCCTCAGCTGCATTACTGCACCCAAAGTAAGACTAAACCACTACGGTATTGCAAATTTATAAAATAAAATTAGAACCATGCACAGTTTCTCAACTATAATCCCAGCACTTGGGAGCCTGAAACAGGAGGATCATGCTACATAGTGAGTTCCAGCATAGCCTCGGCTACAGAGTGAGACCCTGTCTCAAAGAAGAAAAAAGAAAAAAAAGGAGCAGGTTGCACAATGAGTTTTGACTTTTCTTGAAGGCAGAGATGAGCCTTACTAGTTTGGCTGCTTTAAGTTTCACGAAATTGGCTATCTTCTTCCTGGGCCCAAGGGGTATCCCCATCTCCTTCAGGTCATCAACTGTACACATAAGCTTTAAAGGGAAAGAAAGAACACATTAATTAATTAATCAATCTAGAGACAAATGAACCCAAAGTAAAATATAAAAGTATAGAAACACCAACTAAAGCAATCAAAAACCATTCAACTTTTTAAAAGCTAGACGTTTTGCTCTTAATTTTTTTATATTTAATCTAGTATTTTTATTTTATGTATATGAATGTATTGCCTGCATGTATATAAGTCACATAATGCCTGCAGAGGTCAGAAGAGGGTGTCAGATCCCCTGGATGTAGAGTTCTTTGCGGTTGTTAGCTGCCAATGAGGGTGCTGGGAATTGAACCCAGGCCCTCTGCAGGAGTAGCCAGTATTCTTAACTGCTACGCCATCTCTCCAGCCCCTGGATGTTTATTTTTAAATAATAAGATTAATTTAAACTTGAAAATGCTAGACCTCTGGGGCTAGGGACATAGTTCAGAGGTGTAGAGTATTTGCCTAGCATGTGTGAAGCCCTGGCTTCAATCCTTAGCACTAGCAAAAGTAAGAAAGGTTAATTCTGAAGCTGCACTGCCAAACATACAATGAATCTCTCCCTCCATTCTGGTCTTGAGCACGAAGTCTCACAGCAACAACTGCAGCAATCTGCTCTTTCTGCAGATGTCCTCTGTGCACACAACAGCTATGACTCGCAGTGCAGCCTACACACAACACTCAGCTTTGCTCTCCCTCTTTGCACCAGAGGAGCTAAGAGATCAAGACCTATGATGCTGCCTCATTCACAGCAGCTGCAGGGTCCTACTGTATGCACACTTTTGCCAGGGCCCCAGTGGTGAACTGTATTAACAGTGCTCAATGAGTACCCCTGTAGACATTTTTATGTATTTCTTTATAGAAAATATGTTTGGCAATGAAATTGATAAGGCATGTGGTAGATATAGAAAGCTCTATATTTTGCCAAACTATACTCTTACCAACAAATATGTAATAGTGCCCACTCCCCACCCCAGTTTGATAGCCTTACAGAATGCTATCAAATCTACATAGTTAAACTGATGGATTAAAAAAAAAACCACATCAAAGCCGGGTGTGGTGGCACATGCCTTTAATCCCAGCACTCAGGAGGCAGAGGCAGGCAGATCTCTGTGAGTTCGAGGCCAGCCTCATCTACCTAGTGAGGTACGGGACAGTTGGGGCTACACGGAGTCCCTGTCTCAAAAAGACCAAAAAAAAAAAAAAAAAAAAAAAAAATCACATCATTTTTTATTTGCATTTTCTTATATGTTTCCACATGGTAAGAGGCTTCCCTGTAAACCATGCTCCTGTATCCTTTGCCTGCTTTCTTGTCATTAGCTCTGTGCAATCCTTGACTCTGTAATGTGCTCTGGCGTTCTCCCACACCTACCCTGGCCTTTGGTGCTGCCTACCGCTCCACATGCCTCTTCCTTTACAGCTTGAGTTCAGTCATGTTTCAAAAAGCCACAGACATTTAAAAAAGTCTTTTGTTAGTCTTCTCAAATTTTTTAAAAAATATCTATTGGCTTATGAATATGTATGTACGTGTATGTGCTCTGAGTGTACGTATGTGTACCGTGTGCTTTCGGAGGCCAGAAGAGGGCACTGGATCCCCCAAAACTGGAGTTACAAGCAGTTGTGAGCTGCCATGTGGGTGCTGGGAACCAATCCTACGTCCTCTGCAACAGCAGCCAGTGCTCTTAACTGCTGAGCCATCTCTTCAGCCCCTTTTACCTCAATATTTTTTAAACATTTAAAGTTTGCCTAATGTGGAATTCCTTTTTTTTTTTTTTTTGGTCTTTTTGAGACAGGGTTTCCCCGTAGCCCCAGCTTTCCTGGAACTCACTATCTAGACCAGGCTGGCCTTGAATTCACAGAGATCTGTCTGCCTCTGCCTCCTGAGTGCTGGGATCAAAGGCATGCGCCACCACCCCTAGCTTTGGAATTCATTTTTAAGAGTGCCTAAATCATTCTTAATTTTCCAAGTTACACAGAGGAAAAATAATTATAAACAAGAATAAGATTATTATCAGTACCAGAGATTCCATATCAATCTTTTCTTTTTCAAAAGTGCTCATATATTCAAAGAGGCTAAGAGCTTCCAGAGTTTCGTGCAAAGTTAGGACTTCTTCATTTTCAACATCAAGGTCACATGACTCATCTGACATCTGCTTTGATTCTTCAGGTATCTTAAAAAAAGAGAATATTACAAAGCTCAGAAAAAAGCTCCTGATCTACATAAAATTCTTTTAAAAAATTTTCTGGTTTTTAATTTATTTTATGTGTATGAGTATATTGCCTGCATGTACATAAGTGCACTCATGTCATGCAATGCCCACAGAGGTCAGAAGAGGGTGTCGGATCCCCAGGAACTGGAGTTACAGATGATAGCCACCATGTGGGTGCTGGGAACCAAACCCAAATCTTCTGCAAGAGCAGCCAGTGCTCTTAACCACTGACCATCCCTCCAGCCCCTACATAAAAATCTTAAACAATTTTGCTTTATAGATTAAATCATAACTTTAGCTATTTTGCCATCTACCACCTCAGTATTTAAAACACATAAATTTAATAAATCACTCATGCTCACACTTTCTACAATACTGACTTTTTTCTTTTTTTTTTTTGTCTTTTTGAGACAGGGTCTCCCTGTAGCCCCAGCTGTCCCAGAACTATGTAGACCAAGCTGGCCTTGAACTCAGAGATCTGCTTGCCTCTGCCTCCCCAGTGCTGGGATTAAAGGCGTGCGCCACCATGCCCGGCAATATTTACATTTTTTTAAGATCATAAACCTTCACATTTACATTTATAATCCAAAAGCAGGAAGAGTGAGACCCTCAAACAATGTATTTTACAGCTGGTATCACACTATGTTGCCTTGAACTCAAGACCCGCCCATCTCTACCTCCAAAGCAGCCAGGGCAACAGGTATTCAGCTGATGGCTCCTCTGTACTTCTGGGCCTCAGTGCATTTTGACAAAGTGACAGAGAGTCTGATCCCATCTTCTCTCCTTGGGCCGTGGCCCTGTCCTGCTGAGGCTACCAGAGAACACCTGACTAGCCGAGATGGAGATTATTACAGAGTTCCAGAACTAGTTGAATTCCGGGAATAAGTCTGTGAGATACTTAACCCTAAGTGATACATCTTCAGTGCAACCTCTACACACAGATGCATCTCTCACCTCTTACCAGAGAAGTTTCCTTATGCAGCAGTGATCAACACAGAAACCCACCATTGACCAGTGTGCAGAGAACAAGATGCCGCACAGTGCTTATCCCAGACTACGACACCTGTTTCAAACCTCAGCCTCCCAAGGCTCAGGGATCATTGTGGAAGAGAAGGTGAAATGATTGCGCCAGGGGTGGTAGATGACCACAGGAAAACGGTCTTCCAGACAGCTGGTCAATTACTCATATGAACTCAGAGCAATTGTGACAGCAGTCACAAGTCCTATGCAAGCTCAGATCGGACAAAATCCCAGCATAGACATAGGGAAGTGGGTAAGAAATCCCAACCCAACCCAAGGGAAGTTTTGGCAACTGATGGCTGCTGGGAGAGGAAAAGACAGTGCCTTACAGGGATGGGACTCTTGGTGGACCCAGCAGATGGACCCACACTGAAGGACACTTGGGAACACAAATCAGACTCTATAGGCTGTGTTACATATATAAAAGTATATTAAATTGGGCAGAGGGCAGTGGGTGTGGATAGAAGGATCTAAATACCTTCAATCTATATTGTATGAAAATCACAAAAATTCAATTTTAAAAATGGGACAGAAAACAATTCAGGTTTTAGAGAACATTTCGGCTCTAGCTCTAAACCTAAATATGCACAGGGTTGTGTACAGCTTACCTGCTGAAAATTCGGCTGCTTCACAACTCCATTAGCAACAGCCAGAGACCCAGGAGACTTAGAGATACTCAGATCCTTCTGATTAGATAGGATGTCAAACAGTATCAAAGAACCTAGGAAAAGGTTGCATTTTGCTTTATGGCATAGTTACCAGGTGCTTTTCAACACTAAATTCTCCTGCTATTATTCAGAGTCTCTAGCAGAAGTCATTAAGATCTGATAATCAAGGCCAGCATGATGGCTCAGTGGGTGAAGGCACTTGCTGTGCCAGCCTAGCAACCCGGGTTGGATCTGAGTTCAGAATTCAAATAAAGGTGGAAGAAGAAAACCAACCCCACAAAACTGTCCTCTGATGCCTACACAGGAACTCACACACACAGACACACACATACAATAATTTTGTTTTTTTTTAAAAAAAAAGGTCTGATAATATTGTTTCATGTAACAGCAGCAAAACAAAGTCAAACATACAGGCTTCCGTGTCACACTGACTACCAAGAGTAGACACAGTCTAAACTCACAGCGTTCATTCTGTTCACAAAACCTATGATCTATAACTCTAAGTTTTGCAGTAGGATAAAAACACAAATAGCAGTGACTTAACAAGCATATCTGAAATGTGTGATGTGACAACTTACCTAAACTGTGACCAGCAACAGAGACTCCTCCTTTGAAGTTTGGGTTCCGACTCATAAAGAGTGCATGCAGCCGGTTTATCTCCAGGCCCACTTTCTCCACGATGGTCTGACAGTAAGTGGGGCTGTTATAAAATAAGACGTCTAGCAAGGTTTCATTAGTGAAGTGCCGAAACCTACCAATACTTGGCAAAGTGATTTTCTTAATATTCCTGTTTAAAAAGGAAAAAAAGTTGCATTTAGTATTCACCTTCAATCTATGCATTTTTTAAAGTTTAGATTTTCCTTTCAGAAAGAGTAAAATTGTATAGATAACACAATCCAATCAACTCATAAATATTACAGGCTAACTATGAGCTGATTTTGTTGGCAGAATTATTTACAAATACACCAAATATAAAGCAAAACAGTTACTTGTGCAACAATTCCATTCTAAATTTCAGAATTCTCTACAGGACTACTATATGTCATGTGTGAATACTTTAATTTCATTTTAAAGAGAAAAGCCTAGTCTTCCATTTTTCCTTTTAATTAATTGAAAATCCAGATGCCTAACAAAAATTGTTTATGGAAGAGACAGAAGCTGTTCAACAAAATATAAAAGGGTCTACATGAATGGAAACCCTTTCCTGACTTGAGAACAACCCAGGCAAAGCCCGTGACGTCTGAGGAAGCAAGTGCTTCTCACAAAACACAGGACGCTGTCTGGAGGGTTAATGCTATTAAAGCACGTGCCCCCAACACATCACAGCAGCATTCACTCACATGGAGACAAGCATTACCCACATGTGCCAGCATAAATACTATCTGTATCTGTAGTTCTGAAGTGGGAGCATTCAAAATGGAATGGGGTATTTTTGTCACACTTCCTGATGAATGCTGTTAGCGGTTAGTGGCATTTACACCAAGGATGTTGAATGGCCTGCAATTTAACACATTTATGCAACAAAGACTCTACTTTCAAGAGCATTCACCACCAAGAAATAGTAAATCTCAATCTCAATCAGATGATTTTGCCCCACATGGAACATTCGGCAATTTCTGAAGATATGTTTCAACTACCACATGGTCAAAGAGGCTCATTCTAATGTTAACTAGACAATGATGTTGGTAAACACCCTAGAAGGTGCAGGAGAGCCCCCACTTAAATCACATATAGATTGGAAGAGTATTTTAAACCCAGTTTAAGGGCTGTGGATATAGCTCAGTGGTAGAAGGTGTGCTTTCCACACATGAGGATCTAGGTTCAATCTCCAGCAACAAAAATAAACTGAAACTATCTAAAATTTCCTAGTTTTTTAAGTATTTACAGTAGGAATAAATACACAGATAAACACAAGCAGAAGCCACATATTAATGGTACAACTATTGTTTAACCATGTCAGAGCCATGTATATAATTAAAATGAAAATCTTTTTGTTGAAGTAATTTATAATAAGCTAGTTCACATTGCAGCTTAAATTTGCCTCTAACTACACTGAAAAACAAGCTATGGCGATCTACAAACCTGTCAACGCCTGTGGCATCTCCACCCAAGGCACTGTGCCAGTGAACAGGGAGGAACTCCACTCTGCTGACTCGCCCTTCCTCTACAGACTTCTTGAAATGTGTCTGTAGCAACTTGAGAGAAACCACCCTGAAATCATCCACTTCGGGGAAAAAAAAAAGAAGGATAAATTGATTAAATTGTCCTAGCTTGACAGCTAATTATCAAATTAATTAAAATGTGCCAGCATTTTTAATACCATAGATAAATGCTTTAAAAATGATGACACGAGGAGACTGGAGAAATGGCTCAGTTGTGAAGAAGGCTTATTGCTCTTCTATAGGACCCAAGTTAGATTTCCAGCACCTATATCAGGCAGCACATAACCTGTAACTCTAGCTCCAGGGGATCCTAGGGGCCTTCTGACTTCGGTGGGCACCTGAATGCATGTGACACATGCATCCATACACATAACATTTTTTAAAAAAAGAATAACAAAGTTGTAAATGAACAAACATCCAAGTTTTAGGAAGTTCTTTTTAAATTCTCATTACATCAGAGGAATATATAAGCGCTTGAAAAAAAATTAGTTTAACTACCTCAAACAAGCAGCATGGTATCCGGGCTAAGACCAGAAGACTAGAATCAAACTCCCTACCACAGGATCCTGGTTCCAGACCAACTGACTGTGACAGCATAAAGTTTTACTCACTCCAAGCCTTTTCTCACCTACCAGTGGGGGTAATGGTGATATACTCCAAGGTGTATGTGAGAGGGCTGACCGATACCACATATGCAAAATACTTGGAATACCAAGTATTCGATAAATATGAACTATTAATACAGAGGCAAAATGTGAAACCCACAAAACTTCAAAATTCCCAGCTGAAAGGGCAGATCCGGGTCCACTAACACCTGGCACCGTGAGTCAGCTCGGTGCACAGGCTCAGAGCTCCTGGAAGCACTTGGCTGGAAGGCTGTCTGTCAAAAGCCTAAGTTATTTTCAAGATACCTTCTAATTCTTCAGAATCCAGGACTTTCTGTCAAATACAAATGAATACTTCCTACTGACCACAGCACTCTCCGTCTCTTCCAGTCCCTCAGCAACCAGTGTACATGGGAACTGTCATAGGAACACTCCTGCTCTTCTGTAAGTTCTCAGATTACTCTATGAAACAAAGCACAGGTACACTTACCACATTCGATGATGCTTCTAAAGCGCAAGTCACACACAGGCCCAATGCCATGTATCACAAACACCAAATGGTCAACTTGAGGCATTTCCCCTATTTAAAAAAATATATACGCACATGAGCTGAGAACTCACTTCAGTTTTCTTAATTACAAAATTCTTAATATCCCTTTAATCACAAACTGGCCAAAGAAATTCATGACACTTCCAAATAAATAAGCCTCAACGCCCTGTACCAAATTAGCATAATCTGTTCATCCTGGCAAATATATAACAGTGAACTAGATGGAGGTAGAAGAAGCAGTCTCCATCTGTTTCCAAAGGTTATCAGCATGTGAGAACTGATTGCTCACAAACCTAAATAGCCCAGGTCAGACATGGTGGCACATGCCTTTGATCCCAGCACTTGGAGGGCAGAGGCAGGGCATCTCTGTGAGTTTGAGACCAGCCTAGTTTACCTAGTGAGTTCCAGGCCAACCAAGGCTACATAGTGAGACCAACCCGAAAAGAGCCAGCAGTGGTGGTGCACGCCTTTTATCCCAGCACTCAGGAGGCTGAGGCAGGTGGATCTCTGTGAGTTCAAGGCCAGCTTGGTCTACATAGTGAGTTCCAGGCCAGCTAGGGCTACAGAGACTCTGTCTCAAAAGGAAAAAACAAACAAACAAACAAACAAACAAACAAAAAAGAGGCCGGGCATGGTGGCACATGCCTTTAATCCCAGCACTAGGGAGGCAGAGGTAGGTGGATCTCTGTAAGTTCGAGGCTAGCCTGGTCTACATAGTGAGGCCAGCTGGGGCTCCTGGGAGACCCTGTCTCAAAAAGAGAAAAAAAAAAAAAAGGAAAAGAAAAGTCATGGAGCCTCCGTAATGTTGTGATCTTTACAGAATGCCACAGGACAAGGGTAGAGGTGCAGCTCAGTTGTTCCATGCATAGCATGAACACAACCCTGGGTTTAATTCCCTGGACCAAAAATAAAAATAAAAAATTTACTCAGATCACTAAGCCCCAGGTGCAATCTTTCAATATAAAACTTGAAGATCTTTCTACAAAGTCCTCTTTGATTTAAAAATAGAATAGAAATATCTTCAAGTTAAATCATTATTTTTCTATCCTGCTGCATTCAGATTTCACAATACCTATTTATTTTACAATTTTACTAGACACTGAAACAAAACATATGTAACTACCACAATAAAATGTGTTTTTCAATGGTATAAAAGAGGAAAGCCAGGTGTTGTGATGTGCATCTGTGATCGCAGCACTTTGGAAGCTGAGGCAGGAGGACTGTAGTGAGTTCAAGGCCAACTTGGGCTGTACAGCAAGACACTAAGAAGAAAACAACAAAAGCCAAGTGTGGTAGCTCACCCCAGTGATCTCAGCATTCAGGAGGCTAAAGCAGGAAGATCTCTGTGATTTCAAGGCAAGTCTAGTCTACATAGTAAGTTCCAGGGCTACACTATAAGGCTGTGTCTCAAAATACCACCAGGTATGATAGTGAACACCTATAATCTCAGTACATGCGAGAATGGAAAACAGAAGGATCAGAAATTCAAGGTCAGCCTTGATTGCATATTAAGTTCTTCTGAGACCAGTCTGGACTATGTGAGACCCTCTCAAAAAATAAAAACTATAAGGGCATAATAGGAAGAGCAAAGCAAATACACTAGAGCACAGGATTGCCAAACAGGCCAAACCCTGACCTCTACCTATCTTTTTTATAAAAAGTTTCACGGGGGAAAAAAATTTAAAAAGCCAGGTGTGGTGGCGCAGGCCTTTAATCCCAGCACTTGGGAGGCAGAGGCAGGTGGATCTCTGTGAGTTTGAGGCCAGCTTGGTCTCCATAGTGAATCTAGGACAGCTAGGGCTACGGGGAGACCCTGTCTTGAAAAGACTGAAAAAAAAAAACGTTTCATGGGAACACAAACACAACTAATCTCACACTGCAAGAGCAAAGCGGTATAGCTGGGGCAGAGCCTGTACCATCTACAAAACCTATTGTATCTGGCTCTCCACAGAAAAAGTTTGCCAACCGCCACACAAGGGCAGTACAGATAACTGAGGCCTAAAGTCACAATCCCAAAAACTTTGTTCCAAACTTCGTTCATCCTTACAACACTTATTTTAGAATCTATACTACAGGTTTGGAATCTCAAGGAAAATTCCAAAATAAAGACATAAGAGTAATGTAATAGTGGAGTGCTGTGGGATGAGCCTGTAATCCTAATAACTGGGAGGAAAAGGAAGGAGGATCAGGAGGTCAAGGCCATCCTTGGTTACATAGTAAGTTCAAGGCTAGCCTGGGTTACTTGAGACCCAGTCTCAAAAATAATAAAAGTTGGTGCTCAAAAGATGGCTCAGTGATTTAAGAGCACATACTGCTCTTGCAGAGGATCCAAGTCTGGTTCCTAGCACCCACATCAGATGGCTCACAATTGCCTCTAACTCCATCCAGCTCCAGGGCAATTCAATGCCTCTGGCCTCCAAGGGAACCCCCACATACACACATATATCCAAACACATAAAAGATGTAACTAAAAAATATTTTTTTAAAAAGTAATACAATTACCTATAGTCCCAGCACTTAGGAGGCAGAGGCAGGTGGATCTCTGTGAGTTCAAGGCCAGCCTGTCTGTGAGTTCCAGGACAGCTGGGGCTACAGGGAAACCCTGTCTCAAAAAGACCAAAAAAAAAGTAACACAATTAAAGAAACAGGACTGTGGGCCTATGTATGGCCCAGTGGGTAGACACTTGCTGCCAATGCTGATGACCTAAATTCAAGCCCCAGAACCCACAAAATGAAGAGAGAAGCAATTCCGACAAGTTTCCCACTGACCTCCACATGCACACCAAGGCACGAGGCATGTATGTGACCAATACACAATCTCACACACACACACACACACACACACACACACACACACACACACACATATAATGGTAATAAATTTAAAAACAGCAATGTGGCCAGCACCAAAGGGAAAAAAGAGAACCAGGCAGCAAAGTGCTGACTTCTGAGTGCTGTGACCAACAGTCCTTGTGACTGTTTCTTTCATCATCAGTCTGAAGAATGGTGACAGCACACAGCAGCCCAGACTTCCTGTCTAAGCAGTCCATACATCATTGGGAATGTCACCAGCAGACTTCCTGTCTAAGCACACAATACACACCACTGGGAATTTCATCAAGGCTGTCGTCAATCCCACGCTTCACAACCCTGGGCCTCGTCTGTCCGTCCTGTGTGGTACCCCACTCATCCGGCACCGAGGAAGGCTGAAACTGTACGATAACCTTCAAGACACAAAATCACGCCAGGCACGTGAGCAAATTCTTTTCCACTACAGGCTAAGCAATTTTTTTTAGGTTTTGAGTTTTTTTGTTTGGTTTGTTTTCTTTTTAATTTTTTATTAAATTTCAATTTTAAAATTTTTGTGTGTAGGTGGGTATATGGGCGCCACGAATGGAGGTCAAAGGACAACTTTCAGAAGTCCATTCTGTCCTTCTACCATGTGGGTCCTGGGGATGAAACTGAGGTCATCAGGTCTGATGGCAAGTACCTTCACCCACTGAGTCACCTCACCAGCCTCTGGTTGGTTTTCTTAAGAAAGAAAACCATTACGTATGCCTGACTGGCCTAGCATTTGTTATACAGACAAAGCTGGTCTAGAACTTGCAGGGATCCTCCTGCCTCTGCCTCCCATGTGCTGGGATTACAGGCATGCATCACCATGCCTAGTTTCAAAGTAATCTAGTTTCGTACATAAAAACCATGCTCATATTACAGATGGTTATAAATCAAGCAGCACTACTGCTCTCCAAGCAGATTTGTAAAGGGCCTACTAATGTTAACCATCAAAACTAAACATAGAGCCAGATAAACTGACACAGGCCTTTAATTCCAGCACTCAGGAGGCAGAGGCAGGTTCATCTCTGTGAGTTTGATGTCAGAGTGGTCTACACAGCAAGTTCCAGGCTAGCCAGGGAGAACTTGTCTAGAAAAAAAGAACAAATAGGGCTGGAGAGATGGCTCAGCGGGTAAGAACACTGGTTGTTCTTGCAGAAGACCCAGGTTCAAATCCCAGCACCCACATGGCAGCTAACAACTGTCTGTAACTCCAGTCCCAGGGGAGCCAACAGCCTCTCTGACCTCCGTGGGCATTGCACAACACAGGTGTACTTACCTACAGGAAGGCAATACACACATACACATAAAATTTTTTAAAAATAATAATCAATAAAATTTTTTAAAAATAATAATCAATAAAATTAAATTAAAAAAAAAATCTGTGGGCTGAAGAGATTGCTCACCGGTTAAGAGCACTGGCTGCTCTTGCAGAGGACTCAGTGCCTAGTTGTCAGGAGGTGGGTGGCTAACAACCATTAGTAACTCCAGTTCCAGGGGATCCAACACCCTCTTCTGGCCTCCATGGCTACTAGGTACACATGTAGCGGACTTACATACATTCAGGCAAAACATTCATACACATAAAAATAAATTGCTTAAAAATGTAGAAAAAAGAAGCCAGGCATGGTGGAGCACACCATAGACAGGTGGATCACTGTGAGTTCAAGGCCAGCCTGGTCTACATAGGGGGCTCCAGGCCAGCTGAGGCTACAGGGAGACCCTGTCTCAAAAAAACCAAAAAAAAAGAAAAAAAAATTTATAAATGCATACATAATATATCTGATGGTATACAAAATGCATTTTAAAAATATTTTATTACCTTTATGTGTTTGAATGTACTGTCTGCATGTATGTAAGTGTACCTGTGCTGTACAATGCCTGAGGAAGTAGAAGATGACATCGGATTCCCTGGACATGGAGTTACAGATGGTTGTTAGCTGCCATGTGGGCGCTGGGAATCGAACCTGGGTCCTCTGCAAGAGTAGTCAGTGTTCTTAACCCCTCAGACATACCTCCAGGCCCCAAAATGTATTTTTATAAAAACAAAAGGTTAAGAGTATAATCGTGCTGGGCATGGTGGCAAACGCTTTTAATCCTAGAACTTGGGAGGCAGAGGCAAGCAGATCTCTGTGAGTTTGAGGTCAGCCTGGTCTATGTAGCGAGTTCCAGGCCAGCTGGGTCTACAGGAGACCCTGTCTCAAAAAGACAAAAAAAAAGTGTTATCATCAACAGGAAGTGCAAAGTATCAATAAGGATTACAGATCTGAGTTACTTTGGGATCTTTTTTATGTCTAGCTATAAAAATAAATAATAAGAAGAACCACCTTATGCTCTGACCATAACTAAGCCTACTGCTAGATGCTTTTGCAGAAATTACTTCACTTTATCTGAACTGACCCTGGATGCCATAAATGACCGTTCAGAAGGACCTGGAGTGCAAAGAAATTAATTATGGTAAATGAAGGAATTAAAACGGCCTTAAGAGGGCCAGGCATAGTGGCAAGTGTCTTTAATCCAAGATCAAGACCAGCATAGTCTCCAAAGCAAGAGGCTATAGAAAGACCCTGTCTTAACAACAACAAAAGTCCCAACTTTTGCAGGGCATGGTGGTACATGCCTTTAGTCCCAGCACTCGGGAGGTAGAGGCGAGCGGATCTGTGTGAGTTCAAGGCCAGGCTGGTCTACATAGTGAATTCCAGGCCAGCTGTGACTACAGGGAGACCCTGTCTCAAAAAGACCAATAAATAAATAAATAAATAAATAAACAAACAAACAAACAAACATACATACATTTAAGAATTTTTTTTGTATTTTATTTACTGGTATTAATGTGTATGTGTTTTACCTCCATGTATGTAAGTATACCTCATGCATGCAATGCTCATGGAGGCCAGAAGAAATTGTGAGATCCCCTGGAACTGGAGTCACAGATGGTTGTTAGCTGCCCAACCATTAATCAACTATTTAGGAGAAAATATAAACAATATAAAAAGAGAAAGGGCACATTTTTACTTGAAAGGTTAAAACAAACATAGCAAAGGCAGCACAACAAACCAACCCTTGTTATTAGAAATGCAGTTTCCCATCACGCCCACTGGTTTGCACCGTCTTCTCTGGAGGCTCCCACAACACAGTGGGAGAGCTGGTAGCTGGCTGCAAAGCCTTCAATATTTATCTATAGCCCTTTGTAGAAAAAGTTGGTGTTCATCCAATCAAGTGAAAAGATTTATCAAACTATATCTAAGGTAATATTAAGCTTCAGCTAACATGTTACCAAAACAGACTCTTCACAAGAAAAAGTTGAATTGCTTTTTGTTTCCATAATCAATAATTTTTTAAAATTTTTATTATTGTTTTTATTTTATGTGTATTAGTATACTGCCTGCATTTATGTGAGTGCACCCATGTCATGCAATATTGCAGAAGTCAGAAGAGGGTGTCAGATTCCCCTGGAACTGGAGATAAGGACAGTTTGCAGCCACCATGTGGGTGCTGGGAATTGAACCCAGGTCCTCTGCAAGAGCAGTCAGTGCTCTTAACCACTGAGCCATCTCTCCAGCCCCATCAATAATTATTTTTAAAAGCAATGTATGTATTACAAATGTATCCCCACTGTAGAAGGCACTGAAAATGCACATTTATCACCCACATTCAGCAGAATAATCTTTAGAATGAGCCTCATACTTGAACATCTTAAAAAGCACCTCACCTTTGGATTGTGTATAACGATGGTCTCTCCACTTGGAAACTCTAATCTGCGGTGCCACTGATGTGTGGTTACGGCCTTTTTATATTCAGCCTACAATAACAGAAGAACACATAATCCAGTGTAACAAATCTGTATCACATCAAGACAAAGTGTGGCAGGAAATGAAGATGAGGTGGTGACACAACAACTGCAGTTCCTCTTTGCTGGTTATCATACTTTTCATCTGCTTACGAAAATTACCTTACTTCAGGACTGACTGGATCACTCCTAACTAATATCTCCGTTATATTGGGGAAGAAAATGGTGGTTTAGACAGTATATTAATTTAGACAGTAATTCCTAGGGCTGAACAAACTGAGCGACTTATATTTATTGTCTCATGGTTCTTGAGGCTGTAACTTCAAAATCAAGGAGACTGAGGACAATGACCCTAGGAAACCTATGTAGAACGCCTCCTCCTGGTTGTTCTTTGCTCCGTGCAATTGGTATTCCTTGGCTTGGTCTTGAAGCCTAACTCCAGCCTCCACCTTCATCAAGCTAGGGCATTCTGTCTTAACATGCCTATCTTTTACGTCAAATGTAAGACCACCAGCCATATGGGGTTAGGGGTCCACCCTTCTCAAGTTAACTTCATCTTAATGAATTATATCTACAACAACCCTAGCTGCACACAAGGTCACATTCTGAGACACTGGGATCAGCACTTCAGTGTATTTTAGGGTAGATCGGAACGAGACACAATCGAACTCCTAACAGTCATTTTAAGTGCTGTACAGAGCTACACAAGACACACCTGGTAAGCAGCAGTGGCAGAATCTGTGGTTCATTCCCACCAAGAACTTTGTAAGCCCAAAGTCCTAACAGTGCCTATTTTCTTTTACTTTCTTCAGATATGCTATTTTGCTTTCTGTAAAGGTCTGTAGCTTCTTTAGGAAGAGATTCAAAAGAAGGCAAGAGGAAACCAGTATACATTGTACAATTCTTATTTTGTTAGGGCTGGAGACAAGGTTCTGTAGGTAAGACCACTTGATATGTAACCAGGAGAATCTGTGTTCAAATTCATAGAGCCCAGGTAAAAATTGGGGTGTGAAGTCAGGTGTGGTGGCTCACACCTTTAATCACAGCACCTGGGAGGAAGAGGCAGGCAGATCTCTGAGAGTTTGAGACCAGCCTGGTCTACATATCAAATTCCAGGGCAGCCAAGGATACATAGTTAGACTCTATCTCTAAAATAAAAAGCAGGGATAAGGTTTGTGCACCTGTAACCCCCGCACTGTGGGAGACAGAAACAGGAGGATCACTGGAGCTTGCTGCCTCCAGCCCAGCTCCAAAGTCAATGAGAGACCCTGTCTCAGAAGAATAAGGTGCATACCTACTGCCTTCCTTCGGTGCACATATACCACACATACATATCATTATTGAAATTATTAATTATATTTATTATATAAAATTGTTTTGTTAACCAACAAGCATAAACTGTTAGTCGTTTTGTTGTTCTGGTTTGGTTTAGGGAGGCTTTGATAAACTCAGGGTCTTACTATGTAGTTCTAGCTGGCCTTTTAACTTACTGTGTAAATAAGGCTTACGTTGAACTCAGGATTCTACTGCTTCAGCCTCCTAGGTGCTGAGAGTACAAGCATAAACCACCATATCCAGCAGCAAAATCTTTGAGAAAAAATAAAACAGGGTGTGCTGGATAGCTTTAATGTCAACTTGACACACCTGGGTTGAGGGAGCCTCAACTGGGGAATTGCCTTCATTGGACTGGCCTGTGGCCATGTCCATGGGGGACGTTCTTGATTGTTGAGTAATGTGGGAGGGCCCAGTCCATTGTGGGTGATGCCACCCACCTGTGTTACATAAGAAAACAGGCTGAGCAGGGGTCAGGGGAGCAAGCCAGTAAGCAGTGTTCCTCCATGGCCTGTGCTCCAGCTCCTGTCTCCAGGTTCCTGCCCTGAGTTCCTACCTTGGGCTCCCGGATGAACTGTGACCCAGGATATGTAAGCTAAATAAATGCTTTCCACCCCAAGTTAGTATTGGTTAGAGTGTTTTGTCACAGCAATGGAGAAACAAACTAGGATACAGGGCCACTGAGATGGCTTGGTGGGTAAAGGTATTTATGTCCTAGCCTGACCACACTGAGTTCAACTGCCAGAACCCAAGTGTCCTTGAGCTCTACACCCATGCCATGGCATACATTCCCTCCTGACCTCATACACATATACACAATAAGTAAATACATGTAAAAAGATGTTTTTAATTAAACGGGGCTGGGAGACATAGAGAAGTTAAAGAGTACTTGCCTAGCACACACAAGACCCTATGTTCAATCCCAGCACCACAAATAAGTGATGATGATGATGACAAAAAGTCAGACATGCTGTAATTTCAGTACTCAGGGGGCTGAGGCTGGAGGACTGTCACAAGTTCAAGTGCAGTCTGGCCTACATAGCAAGCTCCAGGCCTAGACTACAGAGACCATGTCTTAAAGAATAGATAAAAAATAAATAATAACTGATTGTTAAGCTGGGCGTGGTGGCGCACACCTTTAATCCCAGCACTTGAGAGGCAGAGGCAGGCGGATCTCTGTGAGTTCAAGGCCAGCCTGGTCTACATAGCGAGATTTAAGCCAAAAAAAAAAAAAAAAAAAAACCTGATTGTTTAACAACCGTGTCAAAATGCAAGTCTTTCTTTTAGTGTCTTGCACACCTGTCTGTCAACACTGCTTGTTCACCCTTCTGGGCTGCTTTTGTCTCCCTTTCTCTCAATATATAGCCCTTACTGTACTAGAACTTCCTACCTAGACCAGGCAGTCCTTGAACGCACACAGATTCGCCTGTCTCTGTCTCCTAAGTGTTGGGATTAAGGCCTTGTATCACCACACCTGGCCTTAAACATTTACTTATGATTGAGAACAAGACCATACACAAAAACGATTTTTAAAAGAAAATTCTACCAGGTTTGTGGTATACATCTTTAATCCTAGTGCTTCCACTTGAGTGGCAGAGGCATGTAGACTGCCGTGAGTTCAAGGTCAGCCAGGGCTACACAGTGAGACCTGTCTCAACACACACACACACACACACACACACACACACACACTTTTTCACTTGTTCACATTTTCTTTCAGTCCACATTTATGGTGAGTCTTGCCTTACACAGTAAGATTCCAAACATCATGTCATTTTTCAAAATGGTTTTAGCTATCTTTACTGCACTAATCTTCCATATAAAATTTAGGAACACTTCAAAAACTGTCCCCTAATATCCCTGATAAACACAAAGTTCACCAAGTACTTTGGGAAGAACTGACAACTTTGATATTGAGACTGTGCATTAATGAACAAGGTCCACTTCCAGGCTCATGGATTCTGCTTCAGTCTCCCTCCACAGATCCCATGTGTCTTCTGGGGGATCAGGAAGATCTTGGTACACTGCCCAGGCTCATCTTGAATTCCAAGGCCTACAGGCTCATACCACTGCGCCTCATTCATGTGTCTCTTTTCCTCAAGTGCAGGAGATCAACCTAGGCCCTGACACATACTAAGCAAACATTGTACCACTGAACTACAGCTCCAGCCCTCATATGCATCTTTCATTGGACTTTTTCTCTACCTACTCAGTTTTCCTACAATATGTTCTATTATAGTTTGGTTTGGTTTGGTTTAGTTTTTTAAGACAGGGTCTATGTAGCACTGAGTGGCCTGGAACTTGCTATGCAGGCTGACCAGGCTGGCCTTGAACACACAGAGATCTGCCTGCCTCTGCCTTCTGAGTACTACAATTAAAGGGCAACACCACCATGGCCAGCAAAATTTTCATTTTTACTTTGTGTGTGTGTATGCCTACTTATCTGTATGTATACCACATGTATGCAGTGCCCCTGGAGGCCAGAAGTGAGTGTCAGATCCCCTGGAACTGGAGTTACAGGCACCAGGAACTGAACCCCAGGTCCTCTACAAGAGCGGCAAGTGTTCCCTAACCACTGAACCATCTCTCCAGCCCCTGCTCTTAACTGGGTCTCATTCTACTCTAAATCAGTATTTTTCAACTTGTAGATCAAGATCAGTAATCGAGTAGGAAATCAGTCTTTTAAATGAAATAGAAACACCTCAGCATGAATAACACAGAGAAAGACCTCACTGGTGGTAAGCTGGAGCTGCTGCCTACCAGGCTTTGAGAGCTGATTACCTTTCCCTGTATTCAGCAGCACCCGTTGGCCATGCTGGGTGGATACAAACCATGGAAGTCAGCAGAGTCTTTGTCCCCAGACAGCCACTTTAATAGAACACTACTGCTTCTGATAAATAAAAGTAAGCTGTGCGTGTGCGTGTGCGTGTGTGTGTGTGTGTGTGTGTAAAATACATGCATTAAATCTCAATGTAAAATGTGTTTCTGTGGGTGAAATTAAAAAACAAAACAACAACAACAACAAAAAAAACTGACACCTCTGCCCTCAGCAAGCTCCTTCCAATGTATTTAACCCCAAGTAACCTCTGCCAAACTTAAGGCCAGCCCTTACTTGTGAGTATAGGTCTGGCTACAGAAAGGCCTTTCAGTCACTACAATACTACTAAAAATGGTCTAGAAAAAAACCCTAAAGGTAGGCTTTGATTTGAAAGGGTAATAAGACTAAGCTCAAATATTTTCTTAGTTTTGTTAATTAGATGTTCCTCAAGAACAAAAATTAGTAATAAATAATGCTACTTGAGCTGCCAGCTCCTAAGAGAAAAGGCGGCCTGGCCCACACTCCAACCATGACTACCATCTTTGAGACCCGTTAATGGTACATTTTTGTTTTGTTTCTTGACAGGGTGTCACTCTGTAGCCAAAGCTGGCCTCAAATTCACTATGCAACCCAGGCTGACCTCAAATTCACGGTAATCCTTCCCAAGAACAGGGATCACAGTACGACTATGCTCAGCTTGGTGTCATTTACAAACTTTAAGAACCACGGGCTCGAGAGATGAGTCAGCTGTTAAGAGCACTAGCTGCTCTTGCAGAGGACCGGGGTTCCTGTCCCAGCATCCATGTGGCAGCTAACAACAATCCATAACTCCAGTTCCAGGGGATCTGACGCCCTCTTCTGGCCTCCATGGGGACCCGTGTACAAGTGACGCACATACAGACAAGCAGGCACTCACACATATACATAAATAAGAATAAATAAACTTTTTAAAAACTCACTACCTTGGGCTGGAGATAGACCAGGGATTAAAAGTAAATACTTTTTTTTTTGGGGGGGGGGGGTCTTTTTTGAGACAGGGCCTCCCTGTAGCCCTGGCTGTCCTGGAACTCGCTATGTAGACCAGGCTGGCCCTGAACTCACAGAGATCCTCCTGCCTCTGCCACCTGAGTGCTGGGATTAAAGGTGTGTGCCACAACGCTGTGAGCACTCTTCTTAAGAGGACCTGAGTTTGGTTCCCAGCACTCATGTTGGATGTCGCACACCTGTCTGTAGCTCTAGCTCCAAGGGATCTGACATCCTCTTCAGGTCTCCAGATACCTGCACTCATATTCACATACCCACACACAGACATACCACATACACAGGATTAAAAATAAAATGAATCTCAAAAGAAAAAAAAGAGGAAGAATCACTGTATTAGGAGCTGAGAGAGGGCTTGATGGGGTGAAGGTACTTGCTCTGCAAGCATGAGAACCTAAGTTTGAACACCCAACATCCACATAACAAACTGGGCACAAGCCTTTAACCCTAGTACGTGGGTGACAGGGGCAGGCAGATTTCAGTGAGATCAAGGCCAGCCCCATTTACATAGGCAAAATGCAAGTTCCAGGCAGCCTAGACAAAAGAGTAAGCTTCCAGTTCAGTGAAAGACCCTGTCCCAAGGCAATAAGGCCAAGTAACAGAGGGAGACACCACCTGCACACATGTACCACACATGGACAATACCCACACATATTAATACCTCACACACAAAGAACCACTACATTTTTAAAAAGCTTCTCTCTTTTCCCAAGTAGGCAACTGAAGTCATTTAACTTATTTTAAATAGTTTGTAGTAAGGGTTAGAGTTATCACAAGAAAGTAACAATTATACAGAAGAAGCTGCAATCATAGTTTTAAGATGGTTATTAAGTCTCATGACCTTTCTCCCTATTGTTCTAAATTTATTTTCACAAGGAACTTAACGTCATCTTAATCTTTACTAGTATTAATTTGGCATTTGCATCAAATCCCAAAGCCTAAGTTCTGTTTTTGGTATTTTGAGACAGGGTCTCACTAGACAGTCCACACAGGCCTCAAATTCAGAATATATCTACTCTGCCTCCTGATGCTGAGATTATATGGCTTCTGCCTAAATTTTTTTGAAGGCTAGAGATAATCCCCTTACTAGATGTATAATATGCCCCTGGAAAACACAGTCTACCTTTAGATAGAGGCTACAACCAGCACTTCATGAATAATGGCACCACTTAAAAGCAATCATCTTTGCTGGGTGTGGTGGCGAACGCCTTTAATCCCAGCACTTGGGAGGCAGAGGCAGGTGGATCTTTGTCAGTTCGAGGCCAGCCTGGTCTACACAGTGAGTTCCAGGACAGCAGGGGCTACAGGGAAACCCTGTCTCAAAAAGACAAAAAAAAAAAAAAAAAAAAAAAAAAAAAAGCAATCATTTTTGTGAATAGATCAAGACAGGCTGACTCATAAATAAAGCCAACTCCAGTGAGTGGTATCACATAGGGCTCTCTTGCATATACGGCCTAGGTTTCTAAAAGAAAAGCATAAAGGAATAAAGCACTCATACCTCTAGCTTCTCACTGAACTCCTCTGTGTAGGGAATGAATCGGCTATCTGTGTCCCCTTTGTAAAACCAAGTACACCGTCTTACTTCAGCTGGCTCCTCTTCCCAGTACACAGACTTCCTTATTCGGTCATAGAGGTAAACATCGTAGCGCCCTCCATCCGTGCCTAGAACCACACTCTCAGGGTCTGGCTGCACTAAAGAACAAACAGGGAACATTTTCTCCAACCATTACAAGGCACATTTGAAAATAGCAGATAATGGTAACAATAGTATTTATAATGTTACTATTTAATATTTAAGGACAGAGCTCAATTTTATTCAAAAACAGATGCTCAAAATTATGAAACACACTTCTATTTATTTATTTTATGGGTATGAGTATGTAAGTGTACATACATGTACTTTGGGTACATGTAAGTGTGCCATGTACATGCAATGCCCATGGAAACAAGAGGGCATCAGATCCCCTGGAACTGGAGTTATGATGGTTGTTACCCATCATGTGGGTTCTAGGAACTGAACCTGGGTGCTCTGGAAGAGCAGCCAGTGCCCTTAACCACTGAGCCATCTCTCCAGTCCCTCTTTATCTATTTTTAGACAGGGTCTCACTCTGTAGCCCAAGATGGCCCAAACATCACAGCAATCCTCCTGCTTCAGCTTCCCAAGTGTTTGGATTACAGAGATGAGCTAATATGCCTGGTATGGCTCTTCTTGAGTAAAACAATGAGACAGAGCAAACTTTAAAAAGACAATCGGGGGGTTGAAGAGATGGCTCAGCAGTTAAGAGCACTGGCTGCTTTTGCAGAGAACCTGGGTTCAGTTCCCAGCATCCACATGGCAGCTGTCTTAACTCCAGTTCCGGAGATCTGGCACCCTCTTCTGACCTCCGCAGGCACTGCACAACATGGGTGTACTGACACACATGCAGGAAATATTCACATAAAATAAAAATAAATTTAAAAAAAAAAACAAAAACACATGATCATGAACTGGGCATGGTGGTACATACCTTTAATCCAAGCAGAGAGAGGAGAGGAGGATCTCTGGGAATTAGAGGCCAGTCTGGTCACATAGTGAATTCTGGGCCACCAAAAATTACATAATAAGATTCTACCTCAAAAAAAAAAGCAGGGTTGGAGAGATGGCCCAGCAGTTAAGAGCACTGGCTGCTCTTGCAGAGAACCTGAGTTCAATACCCAGCACCCACATGGTGGCTAACAAACATCTATAACTCACTTCCAGGGGATCTGATGCCTTCTTCTGACCTCCATGGACGTTGCACAACATTGGCGGGTGCACTTATATATGTGCTGGAAATATACACTCACACACATAAAAAAAAAATTAATTATAAAAAACAAATAGTAGCCGGGCGTGGTGGTGCACACCTGTAGTCCCAGCACTTGGGAGGCAGAGGCAGGCGGATCTCTGTGAGTTCCAGGACAGCCTGGTCTATGTAGTGAGTTTCAGGACAGCTAGGACTACAGGGAGACCCTGTCTCAAAAAAAACAAAAAAAAAACAAAAAAACAAATAGACAACAACAAAACAATCATGAAATAACTGAAGTAACTAACGAGTTATTTTGTTGTTGTTCTTATTGTTTTAGTTTTTGGCTTTTAAGATAGTGTCTCACTATACAGCCCTGGATGGCCTGTAACTGTCTATGTAGACGACGTTGACCTTGAACTCACAGAGATCTGCCTGCCTCTGCTGCCTAAGTACTGAAATTAAAGGCCATCACACCTGGCTATGAGTTTATTCTTTCAGTCAAAGTACTAACTGAACCAGGCACAATGGCACACAGCCCAAGCAGTAATATCAACAGATAGCAACACTCCAGGAGTATGCTGATAGAGAATACGGATTGATTTTTAAGTCCCATGATCAAATAATACCACAATAAACAAAGAATCTTATTTGTATGTGGCTAGACTTCTTAGAGCCTTATAAAACATCTATGCAACATCTCTCTCAAGGGGTGGCTATTAGAGAAATTACTTCCGAGACTCATCTGACCTCCGAACACTTTTTTCACAGAGCATTCCACAAATCAGAGTTCCACAGAAAATGCAATTTATGTCCCTTAACTACAAATGAATAAGGAAAATACGAACACTAAAACTTGGATTATATAATGACTTTGCTTCTCTGATTTAAAACAACTTTTTAAACAAAAGAAATTACTAAACCATTTTTTAATACCTTGCTCAGTAACTCAAGATTTACATTTGCATCACCATCTTAAGGTGAAGTCTGGCCAGGTCTACACCACCATGCTCTGTGCACCACCACGCCCAACTCGCTCATGATTAGGGATCTGACAGCTAAAAAAGTAGGCCATGCATGAATACTCTTCATCCTGTCTCATCCTCAACTCAGAATGATCAGAATGGGCCCTTACCTGAATTATAGACTTCTTCAAGACTCACAGAGTCCAGCACACTGAAAGGCATCCACAGCTGCTTAGACTCCACCTCCTTGCAGTAAAACCAGTGGGGCTGAACAGGTTCATACTGGTTCTGAAGTACAAAAGGAGGAGGCCCCTGTACAAGGGGGCCTGCAGGTCTGGCAGGTACCTGCTGCTGTGCTGGTGACTGTACTGGTGTAGGAAGCTGAAGGGACAAGAGTTAAGATCCAAAGGAAACACTAAATGCTACAAAATTAAACTGGATGAAAATTATCCTACTGTGTTTCTAGACAATCATTTAGTGTAATAACTGGTATGACACAATCTCAGATCAGTGGCAAAATGAATCAGACTTCTACACACTAATAGCAAACTGACACCCTTACAAACAGCAATCTACCAACATGTCTCCCTCAATTTATTTAATCTTTACAACTCAAATACTCCTTGACCCAGTCATTCCATTTCTGAGAAGGCAAGTATGTAAATATTTATCTACTACATGCCACCCCAAATAGAATTTGACTGTCTAGATCAACTCCACAAACATTAGTGAAGAAGTCAACTTCAGTTCCTGTACCTAGTATTCTAATTGAAGACTGTAATGAAGATGAGAAGCCAGCAGTCCATAGAGCTCACCGCCTCAGTGCACACATCCTTACGTGGCTTCTTTTTTTTTTTTTTTTTTTTTTTTTTTTTTTTTTATTTTTAGTCTCAGCTGGCCTAAAACTTGCTATGTAGGCCAGGATGGTCTGGACCTCACAGAGATCCTGCCTCTGCCTCCTGGGTGCTAGGATTAAAGGTGTACGCTACCATGCCTAGTTCTTTTTTTTTGAGACAGGGTCTTGCTTGCTTACATCCCTGACTGCAAAGAATGTTTACTTTGCAGGAGGCAGTTTACAAAGGATACCCTCTGTGGCATATACCTACAGCTTCAATTCCAAACCAAGCAATTTAGCAAGATCCTGTCTCAGTGGCAGAGTGCTTATCTAGTATATGTAAGGCCCTAGTTTTGATCCCCAGTAGCATACACATGTGCACACACACACACACACACACACACACATACATTTTGTGAAAATATTTTGTTCTCATGTATATGTTAAAATTCAGTCTTGTAAAACAATGGCTACTGTGAGAGAAAGTTAGAATGAATTATTAAACCTGTCCACATACCGGCGGCAAAGATCCTGGGGGTACCTGGTATGGCTGCACAAGGGGTCCAGAAGGTGGAGGACAGGAGGGGTGAGCCAGCGACTGACACTGCTGCAGTTGTGGGGGTGCAATATAGGGATTCGCCCTGCTGCTGACAGGAGTGTGGCGATATGGATTGTGTCCTTGTGGGGAAACTCCTTGGGGTGGGGTCCCAAAATTAGAAGGAGGGAGACTACTCGGCTGAGAAGGCAAATAGGTATTTATTCCCATCTGTGAGGAAGGTGCAGCACCATAATTAGCCTTTGAAACAGATGGCGGAAATGCATTCAACACATCTTGGGATCCGGTTGTAAAGGGAAGGGCATCTGGGGGCTTGGAGAATGCCAACTGTCCAACCGCCGTTGCTGCAGTTGTTGAGGGCAACTGTCCAATGTTCCCAAAAGGGTCAGTACCACTGGAGACCTGAGAGAAGTAACTAAACGTTTGCGGAGGAGATGCTTGAGTAGAGGTCTGTCCAAGGAAGCTATCCTCCTCACCAACGTCTGTGGAGTCTTCTGAAATACAACAGGAGAGACTGGTTTCAAAAAGACACTACTATTCTGAAGGTTGCTCCAGGAGACCTAGAAATCAGACCTCTGTTCTGTGACTTCTGTTACAGAACAAAAAAGGAAAACATTTTCCTTAAACATTTTTCTCTTTGAAATAAAAAATGAGAAAACATGAATAAGAAAACATCAAAAGAACAGAAAAGTTATGATTCATCCGTCAGTCCATTTTCCAGCAACAGTCACTGACAACACTACTAACTTCAGGAAGGCCATGTGTGTGTAATGCCAACACTCCAGTGGCAGAGGCAAGAAGATCAACACAAATTAAAGGCCAGCTTGGTCTACACAGCAAGTTCCAGACCAGTCAGGCCGATGCAGCAAGATTCTGCCTCAAAATAAAGAGAGAAAACATTTGGTATAATCCTTTCAATACTGTCTAAATAAATATAAATACTAATTATGTATTTTGTAAATATGAATGTTTGTATATATGATTTTTTCTTAAATCTGTATGTATTTTTGCATATCTGAGATCTTTTTTTCCTCCCGATAAGATATAATTCAAATGTTACTATACACTCAAGCATTCAGTCATAAGGAGAAGCTAAGTGCGATATTAACTGCTGACAAGTAGGGGTATGCCAGGGATCATACTTACAAAGCAGTAACTGTCCAGTGAATATGTGGCATCTAAATTCCCAAGGCAATGGAGGTTCCCCGTTAATTGCAATCCCTAAAAATTAGGCAGCATTCATTACAGACCACCAAGTCACGGGCCAGCAAGATGGCTCAGCAAGTCAAGCTGTCTACGCCAATACTGACATCCTGAATTAAATCCGCAGAACCCACAGGATGGAAGGAGAACCCACTCCCACAAACTATCCTCTGACCTCCACATGTGTGCGCGTACACCCACACCCACACTCACGAAAAATAAATAAAAAGAACAAGTCACTAGAAAAGCCATTTTCTATGGGAAGCTTCCCTCACTCCCCCTGGCCAACTCTCTTCACCACATTTTATCTTAAACAATTCCTCTTCTACTCTGCTATCAAGTAATTTAAAAAGAAACATTTTCCCACTAAATAACCTCAAAACAATTCACCCTACTCTCCCTCACTGAACTTTTACAGACAGTGCCACTTTCTCCTCCTAACCATTTGGTCACCCTTATCAGCTGGAGGCCCAGAGTCCATCAGAAGACCGGGCCCACTCTCAACACACAGGCACATTCTGGTCCCTGCCCTTGGAGACCTGACAAAGCTCTGGGCTCCTCCTCTGCTGAAAGCCAGCAGGCTTGTGGAGAGTCTGCCCTCAGATTCTGGGACATTCCCACGGTACTTCATTCACAGCAACTCCACTAAGACTACACAGGTTTGGGGTATGACTCCACAGACACAACTGCAAACAGATTATGATGTCCAAGACTGTCTTTCTGGATTCTGACTGAGACCACACTATTCAAAGGCAGCCAACAGTTCCAGCTACTCTGGAGGCTGAGGCAGGCAGGTCACTTGAGCCTAGAAGTTCAAATTCAGAATCATATTGGACAATCAGTTCAAAATATACAATTTTCAAAAAGGAGGAGGGAGGAAAGAGATGCTTATAACTTGTTTCTCTAAGACTAGAAAGAAAATATCCCTCCCTGCCCACCACCCTACAGTCCTGTGAGATTTGCTTTATCGTGTATCTCGCAGCTCACCTCTGACAATGAAAAGTCCTCCATGGCACCTTGCACTTGTTAAGAGCTTGAGAATGATTTGGTCCAAGAAACATTTTTCTGACGAGCATCAATTAGAAATGAAACATTGACCTCAACATACTCATGTTCTAATTTCCTGCACACCCACGTCTGACCCACAACTCTAATGAGCACTATATTTGGGACACTCTCATCACTGTCTCAAATCCACTGTCCTGTGTGTTCCACAATATTCTACTATGTTCCCAATACTTCCAGCACTCAGCCACATGTGCTTCAGGCTTGATAAGCCATACACTAGATTTATTATTAACCACCCCCACGTCCTTGTACCTGATCTCACTACCTCAATACAAGTTCACCGTCCATCCAGAGTCTGATGAGAACCCTCATCTCTGGGGCTTCATTAGGCCTTCAGTCAGTCATTAAGGACCTGTGTGTGCAGGATCCACCACACGCCAGAACTTGGACTTGGATCTATAACTGAACAAGAGTGGACCTCTGTACTGACACAGAGCTGATAACCTGGCCTCCAGTGAGTCACGAGACTCTGTAACTTTACACTCTACACAATTCTCTCCCAGGGGCTGGAAATGTACCTCAACAGTACAGTGCTTGCCAAGCATGCACAAGGCTCTACGCTGGATCTCCAGCACTACAAAATAAGGATGAAAACAAAACTAAAACTCTCTGTCTGCTGCCTGCTCTTTATATCCAACACGGCTCACCTGAGCTACAGCACCATCCACTCCTGCTTGACACACAAGGGCCCCAGACTGACCAATCTTGTGACAGTCAGCAATCTAAGAAATCTACAGGACAATCTAAGAAAACTCAAGGCTTTCTAAACACATTTCTAACTTCAATGTCTTGTCTTACAGGATTTATACTGCGTTCAATATTGCATAACTATATTAATTCAACTGTGAACCTAAAAATTTACAGCCACTTTGGAAAGAGATCATCTTTGCTCTGGAAATTGTTATTGAATATGTTAAAGCTATAATAAAATGCTTCTTCTAATCATGTGGTTATTAAATAATTTTTTTAAAAAATCCTCAAAGGAGGCCAGGTATGGTGGTGTGTGTCTTTGATCCCAACACTTGGGAGGCAAACAGAACTCTCTGAGTTCCAGGCTAGCCTGGTCTACATAATGAGTTCCAGATCATCAAGGGTTGAGGCCCTGTCTCAACAACAATAACAAAATCCTTCAAAGGCTCCCCACACAGGATGAAGCACAAGCTTTTCAGTATAGTATATGGAACCTACAGACCACTTGGCCACCCCCTGCATACACTCTTCAGTGATCTACTTGAGGGAGGGTAGAGGGTGGAAGGGCAGGAAACAGAGGATAAGGAAGAGGTGCATACTGTCCCATACCACCCACCACCAACTCCTGCCAAGCCTGCAAGTCTTCTCATACCTCCAGACACCCTCATTTCTATGGATCCCTCACACTCAGCTCAGAGCACATTCTGTGAGGCTCTGAGGCCTTAAGGGACATCATCTCCTGACTTCACCAGCTGAGACCCACAGTGGTCACAGCAGCCTACCCATCTCTCTTTCCAGCTGTTCTAAACCTGGGCTACAATAACTTCCCTGAGGGGTTGTCTGTGTATACATACACACCGTTCAGTCGATGAGGGCAGAGCTGTCTGTTCTGTGCTGCCCTGACATCTGGAACAGGGCCTGACAAACACAAGCAGCTCGATTCGTATTTGTTGAATGTTTAAAATTGATTATGTGTCTCTTTCACCTATGTGATTACCTGCTGCTTCCAAGGAGATAGGACTCTTTTCCCTGAAAATGCTCTGAAAAAGATCTCTAATCATGAAATCTCTTAGTGTAGAAAACTACATTATGGAAGGTTAGTTCTAAAACCTATTTATGTTCTCACACACAAAAGTCTATATCCAAGAAAAAAAAAATTGTAAGGATAGGTATAAAGCTGGGAATAGTGGTTCATGTCTGTAATCACAGCACTTGGGAGGCTGAAGCAGGAGGACTGCCACAAGTTCCAAGCTACCCTGGGCTACAAAGTGAGACTCTGTCTCAAAAATAAATTAGGGGCTAGAGAGATGGCTCAGTGGTTTAAGAGCACTGGATGTTCTTCTAGAGGACCTAAGTTGGGTTCCCAGCACCCAAATGGTGACCCAACGGTCATCCATAACTCCAGCTTCAGGAGATCCCATGCCATCTTCTGGTCTCCACAGACATTGCATGCATGTGGTACACTTACATACAAGCAGGCAAAACACATACATGTGAAAAAGAATTTTTTTTTTTTTTTTTTTGGTCTTTTTGAGACAGGGTCTCCCTGTAGCCCCAGCTGACCTGGAGCTCGATATATACACCAGGCTGGCCTTAAACTCACAGAGATCCACCTGCCTCTGCCTCCTGAGTAGTAATGGGATTAAAGGAGTATGCAACCACGCTGGGCTACATGTAAAATTTTTTAAATTAAAAACAAAAGAAATGAGGAGCTACAGAGATGGCTCAGCGGTTAAAAGTCCTGGCTTCTCTTGCAGGACCTGGGTTTGGTTCCCAGCACCCACATGGATACTAACATCCATCCTTAATACCAGTTCCAAGTGATCTGACACCCTCTTCTGCCCTCCAAAAGCACCTGACATGAACATAGTGCATTTACATACAGGCAGGCAAAACACTCATACACATAAAATAAAAATATGAGTAAAAAAAAACAAGTAAGGGGCTGAAGAGATGGCTCAGTGGTTAAGAACACTGGTTGTTCTTACAGAAGACCCGAGTTCAAATCCCAGCACCCACATGGCAGCTAACAACTGTCCGTAACTCCAGTTCCAGGAGATCCGACAGCCTCTTTTGTCCTCCGTGGGCACTGCACGACACAGGTGCACTTACCTACATGTAGGCAATACACACATACACATTAAAAAAAAAAAGTAAGTAAATCTAAAGATAAGTAATCTTATCTTGAATGTCACAATGCAAGTGTCTAGTACTGACAGCAACACACACAAACCAAATACCATACAGCAAGGAAGATGGGTGTATTAGGGTACCCCACTCCTGGTACCAATTTCTGTCCTAGTTACTTTCTATCACTGTGCTAAAACACTGATTAAATCAACCCAGTAAGGTAAGGGTTTATTTTATCTTACACCTTACACGTTCCAGATCACAATTCATCACTTAGGAAAGTCAGAGCTGGAACCTGGAGACAGGAGCTGAAGCACAGACCATGGAGGAACACTGCTTACTGGCTTGCTCCCCTGGCCCATGCTCAGCCTACTTTTTCATATAACACAGGACCACCTGTCCAGGGATAGCACCACCCACAGTGGGCTCGGCCCTCCCACATCACTCAAAAAATCAAGAAAATGCCCCACAGACATGGCCACCGGCCAGTCCAATGGAGACAATTCCTCAACTGAGGCTCTCTCCACCCAGTTGTGCCAAGTTGACAACTGAAGCTGCCCAGCACAATGGGCATAAACCAAATAACACTTCTGGGGCAGAGGACAATCTCAAAGCCCCAAGCATGACCTCCCATAGCACCTCTGCTCCAGCTATGCCAATTCTTCACCAAATAAAGCAACACAACCTTTCAACAGCATGGCTTAAATGAGACACAGGAATTCCTGAGGACACCCTCCCATTTATTAAGCAAAGACCTATTAGATATCATGGATACTGCCCTGCAGGCAGTGGGAGCTATACTAGTGACTAAGTAGGTAAGTCCCTTTTCATGGAGCTTACACTCTGCTGGGGTAAGATAAACAAGTATGGTACATGTCAGATAGTGACAAGCATCAGAAAGAAGGGAACCTTCACCGATAGGTGCTTATAGTACCTCTGCATTCACTTCTCCATGAAACTTTCCTTAGTCTTCCAGAACAAATTATTCAATCAAAATATTCATCATTTAGAGAGGAGCTACCTACTAGACACTAAACAAGATTCTGTAAATAAAAAGGCAATCAAGTCATAGCTGCAAATGTTAAGATGCTCAGTTCAAATGGAGAGGCAAAAGCATTTAGTTCACAAATATTTACACAACACTACATGCCAAACACTATATTCAGAGCCCTACAAAAATCATTTCACATCTCATAATCCTAAGAGACTGAACACATTTGGAAATCCAAGCAAAGACTAGCAAAGTGTGATGCTTGAGGCCACACAGCAAGTTAGTGGCAGGGCCAGGACTAGAATGCCGTCTGTGCTCTGAAACACTATGGTGTGGGTTATGACACACAATCATCAAAACAGCAATCACTGGGGCTGCAGAGATGGCTCCAACGTTAAGAGCACGCACAGGGAGGCTAACTACCATCCTTAACTCCAGTTCCAGTGCATCTGACACCCTCTTCTGGCCATCATTGGGTTTATACACATGTAGTGCACTTAGATACATGCAGACATGTATCTAACAAACAGACATGCAGAAAACAATAAAAAAAATAAATAAAAGCAATCTCCCTATACAATACACAGACATGAACAAAAGTGGGAAATGTGTGGGGGAGCCTATGAGAACAAGAAAAGGCTTCTTGGAGGAGGAAGTGATGTCTTGAAAAATGAGAAATGTGTTCCATCTTTACCCTATACTATGTGAACACCACACATCTACACAGAAGGAAGCACTGTCTACTCTAGAGGAAAGCCTGGAGTCTGTCTACTGTATCCTAGAAGAGAGGTGCTGTGCCCTCTGGAGATGCCACAGCCTGCTGTGTCACCGCTGTCTCCTGGCAGGAGGACACCTTACTGAATCCAAGGGAGGGCCACTGTCTGACCTATCCCCATTTCCCCCAGCACTTCACTGAATCCAGGGCCACTGTCTGATCTATCATCCCTAGGCAGCAGCTCATTGAATTCAAGGGAGGGCACCTGATCTATCCGCATCACCCCCAGCACCTCATTGAATCCAAGGGAGGACGTGTCTTACCTACCCACATTCCCCCCATCACCCCGCACACCAGGAAAGATTTGCAATGACAGTGCACGGGAGTCCAGCACTATGAACAACTTGGAACCGAGAGACATAGCACCAAGAGCAAGCCTCAGCACCTGGGCCCCACCTCCAAGCCCTGCGTCCCTGGGCCTTTGGAAGCCACCCCTGGCCCTGACCCCTCGCCTGAAGCTGGTCACCGCTGGCCCTGCCCGCGCCCTCGAAGCTGGCCACCGCTGGCCCTGACACCGAGGCTGGCCACTGCTGGCCCTGACACCGAAGCTGGCCACCCTTGGCCCTGACCCCTCCCCTGAAGCTGGTCACTGCTGGCCCTGCCCGCGCCCTCGAAGCTGGTCACCGCTGGCCCTGCCCGCGCCCTCGAAGCTGGCCACCGCTGGCCCTGACACCGAGGCTGGCCACCGCTGGCCTTGACACGGAAGCTGGTTACTCGCACAGCGAGAGGAGTACAGGCTCCTGCGACCCCACCTTCCTCCGCGCTCCCCTCCCCCCAGCCCCCAGGCGCACTACCTCCGGGCAGAAGCAGGGAGGCCGGCGCGGCGGCGGCCTGAGTGACCGGGATGAACGGAACTTTGAAGCTGAACTCGGTGGCTGAGGAGGAGAAGAGCAAGTTGGTGCCTGACGAGGAGGCGGAGGCCGCGCCGCCGTTGCTCTTCCTCTCGGCCATGGCTGCAGCCCACCGTTCGTTACGTGGCTCTGGGAACCCGGTGCAACATCACGGGCCGGAAGCCGCTCGCCCTAGGTGCCAGCGTACTTCCGCACTTGCGCACAGCGGTCCGCAAGGCAGCCAGCTGGTCCGGGAACTGCTCTCTTCCGGGAACGGCTCTCTTCCGGGAACAGCCGCCGCCCCAAGTCAACATGGCGGACTGAGCTTCAGACCCGAGCCTAGCACGTGCCACCCTCTGCGACTGCGCAGGCTCAGCTTGCGACCAGGCGGGACGGTGGAACCCGAGCGCAGGGCTGTGGCAGCGCAGTTCTGAATCCCAGCAAATATTTACCCTGAAAGTCATGGACGGCGCGCTAGGCTTCCTGAAGTACCAGGGGATATCTGTTTTTATTAGTTTTATTTCCTTGTTTACTTGTGCAGCAGGATCTTGCTGTGGAGCCCAGGCTGACCTTAGTCCTCCAGTGCTGAGACTGCAGGCGTGCATCACCGCAAGCACAAATCTTCACGTCAAGCAGCACGGCATGTTTCGTGAAGGCGCTCACGGGAACCGAGAAAGAATGTATACGTTGAAAGTGTCTTTGGGAAGGCAGTTCTGGAGAGTATCACATCTACACCTCAAAGGGCAGAGGAAAGGTTTATAATTGCAGGTTTTCTAAAGTAACTCCTGTCTGTAATCTAGGGTTCAGGGACGTATGTGCTTGTTACCATCCTTTGGCTGGAAGAAGCAGTAAATCCTGCTGGCAGTGTTGAGCTTCCTCAGACAGGCATTTTAACTGGGGGGAGGGGGGGTTGGAGGGTGGCCTTTAGGTGCATCTTTTTTTTTGTCTTTTGTCTTTTTTTTGTAGCCCCAGCTGTCCTGGAACTCACTATGTAGACCAGGCTGGCCTCTAACTCACAAAGATCCGCCTGCCTCTGCGTCACAAGTGCTGGGATTAAAGGCGTGTGCCACCACACCCGGCCCTAGGTGTATCATTTCTAAATAACATGGTCTCAAACTGCTAGAAGCTAGAGGTTGGCCAAGGAGAATCTGTCGTTATCCTAAGTGGTGCATCAGGGGTACAGTGATGTATGAAACTGATACAGAATCCTTCTTTTTTGAAATTTACAGTCAGTGAAAACAATCACCTAACACACAACAACAGTGTGAAGTGTGCTAAATTATATGCTGATATACTGCAGGCTTTCCCAAAGTGTGTTTGGAAAACACTGACGTCAGGGGAAGAAGATAGAAACCTTATGAGAGAAGAGTATAAAGTCTTGAGGCATCACACCATTGACAAAGAACCTAGCCAGTTTGAAGTAATATAAAAGGCTTTTAGGAAAAAGAAAAATTAAAGCGGAGATCTGAAAAGCAACTCTTCGAGCCTCTTTATAAATACAGGAATCCTTTTCTTGCCAGCTACCCCCAAATGTGGTCACCTCGGAAAAGCCCGAATTCCAACCATCACTTTGTGAGCTATTCAACATACGAATTTTGGATTTTAGACATCAGGAAGAAAAAAAACTAAATAATTTCAGAGAGAAAAAAATGGTAAGAAGTCAGGATCAAGTCCCTCAGGGGCTGGGGAGATGGCTCAGCTTGTTATTTTTGTAGAGGACACAGGGTTAGGTTTCCAACACCCACATGATAACAGCCATAATTCCAGTCCCAGGGGCTCAGACACCCTCTTCTGGCTTCTGTAGGCACTCCAACCATGTGGATGATTTTCATGCATACAGGTAAAACACTCATACGCACACAAAATACCAGTTGTTGAATTGGTTCATTTGTTCCCACCATCACAGACAGCTTGGTGGGAATAGAGCCCAAGGTTTGCTGCATGCCAGGCATATGCTCTACCACTAAGCAGTTGCTCTTCAGCTGCCCACTTCCTAGAGTCCATTCAAATCACTATTCCACTTGTTCAGCTGATACAGGGGATGGAGTGGGGGAGCGTTCTGAGGCTCATCCCTTGTGCAGGGAAAACAAAGTTTCTTTACGAAAACAGACATTTCCTGTTTCCTACGCAAGTTTTGGCGTTGCCCTTCTCAATCTTCCTCCTGAGGGTATCCTAGTCAGAGGCCCAGGGCTGGGCCCAGGTTGAGTTTGTGGATGTTTACTTCTCCATTAGGAATCTGTCTCCTCGTCAGGAGAATGCTTGCAAAAGTGTAACGTCTCCTTGATTTAAATGCATATATCTCGTTCACGAAGAACGTATTCAGCTGAGAGTTCTTCTTAAAAAATTATTAATAATTTTTATGTGTATGAGTGTATTGCCTGCATGTAAGTGCACCCATGTTATGCAATGGCCGCGGAGGTCAGAAAAGGGTCTTGGCTCCCCTGGAACTGGAATTAAGGGCGGCTGTTAGCTGCCATGTGGGTGCTGGGAATCGAACCCGGGTCCTCAGCACGAACAGCCAGTGCTCATAACTGGTTGAGCCCTGTCTCCAGCCCAGGTGAGTGTTCTTACATCTTATGTAGGATTTGGGGAAAATCCTTATAGAAGGTTCTATCACCGTAAACAGAAAAGGCACGGAGGGCGGGTGGGAGGACAGCAAGTGCAGTTTTCCCAGCCGCTTTGCTCAGAACTGACTGAGCTTTCTAGTCCTGACGCAAGGATGCGTACTGACTGAGTCAACTAAATACACCAGTCGGCGTCTGCTGCCCTACCTCTGCCCATCTCCAAGATGGCCGTCTCGCCCCGCCCCCAGCACGCCGGCCCCATCCCCTCCCTCTGGGGCCTCGCCGCGCGCTCCCGCCGCCGCTCCCGCTCGAGCTCCACCCAGGTCCCCGGCAGCGCGGTCCGTGGCGGCTGTTTCCCGCCATTGTGCGGAGTGGAGGCTGCGCCCCCCGTGCCGCTCCCCTCTGTGGCCAGTAGGTCGAGGGCACCCAGCGCCGCAGACGCCGCTCCCTGAGGCGCGGGGAGGCCCGCAGGTCGCCACCCCGCGCGCGTGGGAGGGCGCGAACGAGGACCGGCCGAGCCCCTGAGGAGAAGCCGGGCGCCGCGCGCGCTCGGTCGGCGGGCCCCGGCCCTCGGCGACATGCCGTGTGGGGAGGATTGGCTGAGCCACCCGCTCGGGATCGTGCAGGGCTTCTTCGGTGAGCAGCGCGGGCGCAGGCCCGGCGGGCTACGGGGGGTGGCGGCGTGCGGCCGCACGAGAGATGGCAGCCCGAGGGACCCCGCGCGGCCTGCAGACCCCGCCGACGGCGGTTCGCGGAGCCTCGGCTGCAGGTGCAGCCACCTGCCCGGCCCCGAGGCCCGCCGGCGGCGGGGTGCGGCCCGGGAGCCGACCGTGATTGAGGGCCTGGCTCTCCGCCGGTGGTGGAGCTCGGGAGGTGCCCGATCCCCGGCAAAGGGGAGCCGCCCCGTCGGTGCGAGCCTGCGGGGTATTTCTAAACTTCCGGTGTGCGGAGGGAGTGCGGGCTCCTGCGTCCAAGTTCTCGGCCCGGCCGCAACACACCCCCTCCTTGCGATCGCAGCGACTCTCAGCCTGTTTTCTGCTGGCTTGACTTTCCGTCTTCCGTTCCCTGCTCCTGCGCAAGCTGGAAATGTTGAACTTACTTGCATGAGTTTTCTGCATGGCAGCTGCTGGGTGTTGCACGTACAATTAAGACATTTTAGCTGAGCTTTCTGCCTGCAGTTAATGAGCTGGACCTTGATCCCCACTCCCATCCCCGGTGTCGCTGCGCTTAGTGATGATGGGGGTCAGATGATTAGAAACCACTGTTAGATCGCAGCACCTGACGGTCGTGGAGTTAAGAGTTGCAGAGTTCCTTCACCCTATTTAAAACCTAGCGAGGGGCTGAAGGTGTAAGCCAATGGTAGAGCCCGTGCTTCGCATGTGCAAGGCTCTGGGTTCAATCCCTAGTGAAGTGTGTCTGTATACACGCACATATAATCACACGTCGCATGCTAGGGAGAGATCACTAAGAAGCCGGTGTCCTCACTAACTCCAAAAGCTGTGCCTTGAAATGTATTTTGTATTTATTTTTGTTTTCCCAGTCAGGGTCACAGACTTATGTCAGGCTGATGGGACTCAAACCCAGGCTGGCCTTGAACTCACAGCAGCCTCTCACCTCAGCCTCCCAATGCTGGGATTACAGGCACAGCCACTGCTCCCAGAAATGAAATGTATTTCTTGTAGTAGAGCCTTCTTCAATGCTCGGACGGCAGCTATTTATTTTACTTAGAATTCCAATTAGTCATGTTTCCCAGGCAGCAATTTGGAATTGAAGGCCTGGGTAGGCATCCGGATTGTAGCCAGTGAACACCCACAGCCTGATAAAAAAGAAACAGATATTTAAAAACAAACCATGGGCTTGGAGTATAGCTCAGTGGTAGAGTGCATGCCCAGTGTGCCGAAGGGTCTGGGTACAGTGCGAGTAGGAGGGAAGCAAGTTCACTATATAGCAAGAGAGCGGTTTGGAAAGGGTCTAGGAGACAGGTACAGTGGCTTGCCTGTGATCTAGCCCCTGGAAGACTGAGGTAGGGTTGCAGCTATTTTGGGACTAGCCTGGGTTACTTAATGAGACCTGTCCAAAAAAAAAAAACTGATAAAAGAAACGGGCCTGTTTTCCTTTTCTAAATCGTGGAAATTGGTGGTCCAAGTGTTGGGCCCAATAATTGGTGCTCAGAATAATGACTCCAAAATGTCAAGCAAAGAATTAATTCAGGTTTGGCTTAACAAGTGCACAGATGCATTATAGGAAAAATCTGAAGTTAAAAGTTGGTGTATAAAAGGTTAAGTTCCAGTTACTGATGTTAGACCTTTTGTCCTCATTTTCTGAGATAAGGTCTCTAGGCCTGGAACCTCCTGCCTCAGCCTGTGAAGTGCTAGGATTACAGGCATGTACTGCCTTGCTCCACTAGAACATTCATTTGAAAAAATATCCCAACACCCTGGGGTTGCTGTATCAATGAGGTGGTTCTAAATATGATACAGATTTGAATATATTTGTGTCAAACTTTTTTCCCTTGGAGCACATCTCATCATGGGACAGAAAAAGTATAATTTAATTTTTAAGTACTGCTATGCAGTAATTTATACATCTTGTGGATTGTTTTGGGGACATGAATGTTGCCCCCCCCAGAATGTCTTGTTCCTATTTAGTTGGTGTAGGGTAGAGGAGCTATGGAAACTGCTCTGAGGTTTGTATTTCTGTTGTAGTTTCTTCTTGCTGTTTGAACACCTTTATAGTAACAGCATTGCAGGTATGTTGTATGACTTAAGCTTGTAGACAGTTTTTGGTCTGTGTTTGATTTGGGTTTAGGTGCTGGGGATTGAAGCTAGAGAAAGCAGAAAGCACACTCACTTTGAAGCTATACCAGGGAATCAACGCTAGTTCGGGTTTTTTTCTCCAGATAAAAAAGATAATAGTGCTTGTCTGTTTTAGTGTGTGTCTAGGGGAGAGGGCGGGTGCTGCTAAGTAACATAAAAAATACAAAAGGCCTCTAATCTTTCATGTTCAGAATAACCACCGTTCAGTTTATAGCTGTCCACTTTATCAATTTTGCTGTTTTGGGATTGAAGCTAGGGCCTTCAGTGTGCTAGCCAAGCACTACCACTGAGCTGTATCTCTAGCCCTTGATTCATTTTCTTTACATACATTTACAGGAGTTTGATGCTGTGCTGGAACACCACCTAGGAAACTCAGACTTGCTGTAAGAGGGCTCTACCACTGAGCTGTATCTAGCCTTGGGGTTTTCTTGAAATAGTGTCTCCCTTTGCAGCCTAGACTATTCTGCGGGAAGTTGTGCACAGCACAGATCTCAAATATTAGTATGTGGTGCTAGCTTTTTTGTTGTTGTTGTTCTTTTTGAGACAGGGTCTCCCTGTAGCCCCAGCTGTCCTCCAGGCTGGCCTTGAATTCACAGAGATCCGCCTGCCTCTGCCTCCTGAGTGCTGGGATTAAAGGTGTGTGCCACCATGCCAGGCTTGTGCTAGCTTTTTTTGATAACCTCCTACTTACTAAGTCTCTTTTTCTTGCTGTGTACTTCAGGCTGGCCTTGAACTTACTAGCCCCAGGCTGGTCTTAAAATGCTGGTATTTAAGAGGCATGTGTTGTCAACACCCAGCTTGTCAATATATCTTAACAACTTTAGTTATTAAAGTTCTCTTGATCTATACAGAAATCAAGATTGCTGCCATAGCTCAGGATCATGTGGTCCCTTTTTGGAAGACTAGGACAGCCACCTCCCTTGTTTGTAGTTTTCTTTCTCTCAAGTACCCTCTACAGTAGAACCAAGACTTTCAGTGACTTCCAGTTGCTCTTAGAGATGTTTTGTTTTTTCCTTGGGTTTTGGTTTTACTAGGTAGTCCCAGACTGGCCTTGAATTCTCCTTTCTGCACTCTCCTAGGTGCTGAGATCACAAGTGCGTGCCACCACGCTAAATTTCTGTTGATCTTGGTATCTTATGACCCCTTGGGTGCTTACTGTATAGCTCAGGCTGGCCTCAGACTTGCTGCAATCCTCCTGCCTCGGCCTTCCGAGTGCTGGGGTTATAGGCAGACACCGCAAATCTGGCATTTAGCCACACACCTTTGGAGTTGTTTTGTTTTTGTTGATTTTTTTTCTTCTTTTTTTTGATGTTTTGCTTGTTGCTTTTTTATTTCATTATGCATATGTGCATGTGAGGGTGGGTACCTATGGATGCCAGAAGAGGGCATTGGATCCCCTGGAGCTGGAGTGTAGGTGGTTGTGAACAGCCCAATTTGGGTATTGGGAACCAAACTGTGGTCCTCTGTCAGAGCAGTACAAGTTCTTAACTGCTAAACATTTCACCAAGGTGTTTAGTTTTTTTGAGACAGAGTCTCACTGTATAGCCCAAACTGACCTCAAGCTCAATGTGTAGGCCAGGGTTGTCTTAAATTCAAAGCCATCTTCCTGCCTCAGTCTCCCGATTCCTGGGATTTACAGGTATGCACCTTTGTGCCCAGCATTTAAAGTGGTTTTGTTTGTTCAAAATATATTTTATTTATTATTTTTATTTTATGTGTATGAGTGTATGAGCCTGCATGTATGAGTGCACCCGTGTCATGCAATTCCTCGGAGGTCAGAAGAGGGCATCATATTCCCCTGGAACTGGAGTTAAGGACGGTTCGTAGCTGCCATGTGGGTGCTGGGAATCGAACCTGTGCCCTCCGCAAGAGCAGTCAGTGCTCTTAGCCCCTGAGCCATCTCTCCAGCCCCTATTTGTTTTTTTAAATTTTATTATTATTCTTCTCTGAAAATTAGCTGGAAACAGCACATGGTTGAAATTGTTTCTTGGATTCTTTGTGGAGCTCAGGACCTGTTCCTGTCATGTCACTGTTCTATGCCTGATACTTTGAAAATGTTCAGTAGACTGTTACTCAACAGAGGCTGTGGAAAGGCTGATTAATGGTGCAAATTGGGGTAGTTACTGTGACAGTTCTGATGGGCCTCATGTTGGTTCAGAATCTCATCATGCCAGCGTTACGTTCACATGTAAATCCTGATCTTTTTTGGTTCAGATAAGAAAGTTGAGATTCTGTGGGTGACCATCATAACCATGTGAATCGTAATTCATTGAGAGCCAGTCTTTGCTTTGAATTTATATCTGCCATGTTCTAGTTATTCATATGTAAATACCCTGAGCCTTTATAGAATGCCTCATTGGAGTTCTAGTTAGAAACTGATTTCTTTATACATGATATTGGGGTCCATGGCTTAAGATTTAGGAATGTGTTTCTGCGGGTGTTTATTGGGCTCTGTTACGCATACGTTGCTGATGGCTTGGTCCTTACTGTGATGGTTCATTAGCGACATCCCAGCATTCTGGGGGCTGAACAGGAGGATCAAGAGTGGAGACCCTATCAGAGAAAGAAACATTTTTTTCTTTTAATCATCGTTTCATTTTATTTTCTTGTGGTTTGGGGGGGAGAGGGGCAATGTCTGATGTAGCCCAGGTTGGCCTCCAACTTACTAAATAGCCAAGGATGGCTTTAAATTCATGGATCTTCTGCCCCCGTCTCCCAAGTGCTAAGATTGTATGCATGCCTAGTCATTTTTTCCCATTTAAAGGAGGAAATGTTTTTACTTAACTATTCATTTATTTACTTTGAAACTGGATTTTGGAT